CCCTCGATCAGCCGATGGAAGGAGCCAGTTGGAAAATCTTCCATCAAACGGAGCCGCCAGCCAATGAGCCGCCGCCTCTGTTCGTGTATTGTGACAGTGGTCGGCGGCCACCGCCAGAATACAGTGAAGAAGACGGCAGGATGCGTTGTAAGCATTGGTGGAGGAATCTTATATTTTCTTTGTTCAGCCCGCGGGTTGAACAAAGAAAATATTGGTGTATGGGCAGCTTTACTGGCCAGTGGACGGCCATGTTGTCTCTGGTCCTTGTCCGTAGGTCCTCGCTCTCTGGGATGTCTGCATTGTGAGGATGATCTGGAGAAGCTGCTTCTCTGACTCAGATAAAATCTTTTCAGATGTTCTATTGTTGGGCAGTACTGTAGAATTCCTGGAGTGTCCCGGTGCATTAATTCCTGTCATAGCGGCGTTCGCTAATAGTTCGTGATAATTTAAGGCAGGAGATGATGCCCTTGTAAAAGGAATACCGAATTGATGCTTTTATTAGCAGGAAATATACCCTACAAAAAGCAGGTCATCATCCATGGCAAATCTCCTATTGTGTTGCAAAACAGTTGGGGAGTGAGAGGGGCTCGATCTTTACCTTTTTAAATCCACAGGCCAGGATAGCACCATTTTGTTATGCTGATTGGTGCCCTTTGATGGCATTGTGACACTGCTGCTGACTTGCTGATCTCAAGCTGAGCTGCAGTTCAAGGTTTGGTGCGTGAGCTCCCCCTGCTGGTTGACTTTTGTAATTGCAGTATACGTACTGAGCTCAAACCAGCACATGCTGACAACAAAAAGACCAAGGGCCCGATGAATCCAAGTGTCAGTACTAAAGGCCGGTGATCCTTCCCAAGACAAGACATTAGTGAGGTTCAAATCTGCCCTGCAAATGTTTACTATTTGGTGATTGTGGTGAGACAAAATCACCAGGTTAGTATATCAGAACCCAATGTGGTCATCTTGCCTGTCTACTTCAGTGAAGCCTTAGGCCTGGTTCACACCTAGGCGTTTTTTGAGCAGTTGGAAAAGTGATTTTAAACACCCAACACCCAACACAAAAAAACCCATGATTTTCAATGGCCCCTGTTCACACCTGAGCAGGAAAACGGCCAAAAAGGTACATGAGCTTCTTTGGGCGGTTAACAGCGTGTTTTTGTCCCATAGACTTTAATGGAGATGCCTGAAAATGCGCAGCAAAAGCATGTTGCACATCGTCATGCGCCTTTTTACGTGCGTTCATCCATTGCCCGCAATGTTTCACTGCCAATCAAAATGCGCAACTTTACGCGCGTACAAATGTGCATTAACGTGCAAATAACCGCACGCCGAACACGCATGTGCAAATGTGCAAAAAGGATGCCGCTTAGGTTTGAATACGGCCGTATGACAACTTTTTCAATCGATTATGTCGATTAGTTGTTGCAGCCCTAGTCCAAACCACAATAACGGGCAATTGTTGCTAGCGTCACATGAGAGTTGGTAACTTGGTGTTTACTTTAAAGCTGAAGTCCAGACACGAAAACATTAAATATATTAATAATATAAATCCATTTTGCCTTTGTGATTTTCCTTGTAAAAGCAGCAGCAACATCATCACTGCTGTGCTGTGCTGAGAGTAGAGTCCTGGGAGGGGCCAGCAGGTCCACCCTCTATAGGATGGGGCGGAGACCAGATCAATCCTCCTGTACAAGTAGAGAGCTCAGCAGTGACTGGTCTTGATCATGGAAAGCTCCTCCACAAAGGAAAATGTTCTCAGGGGATTACATCAAGGCTATGTAAGAAATACACAATGTAGGTGAAGATTCCAGAAACAATGTATATCCCTTTTTGTATTTAGACAATATTTGCTTATCTTGGCGTTTGGCTTTAATGTGTAGTGACCTCACAGCTGAATAGAGGTGACAGAAATCATGGCGGGTTTACTCTAAAGTTCTATCTGTGTAAAATGTACAATGTTTCTTCTGCTCTAAAGACTTGTGTTTTGTGATGCAAATGTGGATGGTGCAGCAATAAGCGGTGGGAGGAAGATGTTCTGAGTTGCTGGTGGTTATCAGTTGTGACAGTAAAAGCACCCACATAGACTGTGCCTTGGTGGGCAGGTGCTGTACTGCCCTTTTGGGATAATACTTGTCTGGCTTTGGCAGTCTGAGATCTATAGAACTCATTCACACGGCGTGCATATCCATACGGCGTGTTTGCCTGTGCAAAGACAGGGGCTGCTGCGTGCAGCCGCCTGTACATCTGTATGGAAGGATGCAGCTGGAAGCAGTTACACACCTGAATCTTCATGTCCGTGCAGGTTAGGGTGCCCGCTCAACAACCTATATAAAAAAAACTTCCATCCAAAACATTATACACACTGCCCGGCCAAAAGGTCACGCCCTGGTCTTAGCTAAGCAAATGGGTCAGAGCCTTTCATTTGATAATAGGTCTAGGTTCAGCGACGTTGTATCCCCAAAAAATGGTCAGCTGCCTACCTGAACTATACTATACTGAATGATCAGGTTTTTCCATCAATGGATTTTTTCTTGGCTGATGACACATTGGACATATTCCCAGATGACAATGCCAGGATTCATGGGGCTCAGAATATGAAAGTGGTTCAGGGAGCATCATTGTCACACACGGATTGGCCTCCACAGAGTCCAGACCTTAACCCCATTGAGAATCTTTGGGATGTGCTAGAGAAGACTCTATGCAGTGGTCCGACTCTCCCATCATCACTACATGATCTTGGTGAAAAATGACCAACTCTGGATGGGAATAAATGTTGTAACATTGCATAAGCTTATCGAAACAATGCCACGGCGAATGCGTGCCGAAATCGGAGCTAAAGACGGCCCAATTAAATATTAGAGTTTGTGACTTTTATCATGGCCAGGCAGTGTGGGAACACTTTACTTATTTAAAGGTTTCACTCTCATCACTCTTTTTTTTTTTTAAATGTATTTTTCCTGCTTCTGCCCCTTGAGGCTGGACCCATTGAACCTTCCATGTCGGTCTTGTTACGACACCTTTTTATGACACTCCATTCACATGTCCTATTCATCTATTCCACTTTTTCCATCTTGCCGGTTACATCCTTCTCATGTCCTCAGTCAGACAGAAGTGAGCTTAAGACACAAAAGCCAATGGGTAGATATACGCGGATACTGCAGCATTGTACAACGAAGCTGTACGTGGGGTTATATTACCATTCTTTTTGTTCTCTTGAAGAATTATAAAGAAAACGGAGAGACTGGAGGTAGCCATTGTTATCCACATCTTCTGAAAATGCTAGTTTGGCTGACATTCTGACCCAGTGGTTTCAGTACTTTGATCCAGGAAATGTATGCAGTTAGGGAGCGTTTGTCCAACAATGATCTGAAGCATTGAAAATGTGGGTCCTCCATATGGGTCCCTCATATGAACTCCAAAACCCCGTCTAATGCAGATCTTAATAAATCTACAGTGCACTGACTGAAACCTCGTACTATCAACGTCAATGTCCGAAACTGTTACCATTCAGTATTCTACTTGCTCTGTGGAAAAGAAAACAATGTTTTCTTGTCTTATTGTGTTTGGATAAACTAAAGATACTACATTTTATGATTAATCCATTATTGAAAAAGTTGACAACTTTTTCAATAATCGATTATAATCGATTATGTCGATTAGTTGTTGCAGCCCTAGTGCTGATTCTTATATCTCATTGCAAATCTGCCAGAGATGATGGCTTTTCTGCAGTCTGTAATACAGTGAAAGACCCACAGTGCCCCTGGTACCCAGACACTGATTCAGAACTTCTACCCAAAGCTTAGGCGAAGATGGGGCGTTCAGAAGCAATGTCTTTTTTATTATCATTATTGTCGAGTGATTCTGCTGCTATGGATTGGTTTACTTACACTGGTGTATTTATGGTTGTTCATCACTTTGTCACATTGCTTGCCCGACAAAAGGGACCTGCTGTTGTCCCAAAATGTATGCATTGTGATTGGTTCTACTGGCGTCAAGCGATGAAGATATCACGGTTGGTGTCCCAGTGGCTTCTCTGTATATTGCGGTGCCATCCAATTTGTCACTGCTGCACCCACTTTAAGGGGTTCTGCCGGTCAGGAGTGCGGTGGCACACGTGCTGTAGGATCACTCAAGTCTCCCTGTCTGTCCCTATGCAAAGTCTCCCTTTGTATCTAGATGCAGCGAGATGTCCCTGGCCTGAGCGCTGCTGAATCTTGATCAATAGAGGTGGGAGCGACATCTCAATGCCTCAGCTACAAGAGGGAACAATTCTGTAGGGACCATCCGGCTGCCTATTAGCAGTCCTGGGGCTACCAGTTTTGACAAATCACCAGCGTCGGGATTACTAGTGACAGTTGCCTGCCTGACATTGACCTACGAATGCAATTATTTAAGGGGTGGTTTTTCATGAAACTGCTAATCTAATTTGGAAATCTTGGTATGGACTCGTACTGATCCATGTGCAGTGTAAATACAGTGATGGGTCCCCTTTAAGCAACTTGTGTAACATGTTTGTGTACAGCGTCATTAAATAAGCCCATCAGGACAATAGCGGATGTCTTAATAGCCAAAAGCTGGCTCTTGGCCCCCATAGCACATGTGCCGATACAGAACCTGACGTTACTGTGAATCTCGGTGGGATGAGAAGGCGTCATTGGATCTTCTGTCCTTTGACGTAAATGGTTTATCAGCTGAGCCTGCAGCGCTGGCGCTCTCCGTGTATCGTGAAGTGTTTCCGCCTTTGCAGGGAATCGATAGGCTAAAAGTAAACGTGCCGCTCTTAAAGTGAATCTGTGAATGTAAATAGTAAAAAAAGATTTGCAATGGGGGGTTTCCTTTCACTCCTGTATTTTGTTTTGTGGAAGATCTTGTTTTGCTTTCTGGAAGACCATCCCGCACCGATTGCTGCGGGATGGTGCAGGCCGCCGCTCTGAGCGTCTGATGATCTATAGACTCTGCACAGCTTGTGCTAATCACAAAATGTCTGTCTTCTTCCACAGAGTGCGGCAGCCGCCCCAAGCCCAGTGCTTGGCAACATTCCTCCCAACGATGGGATGCCAGGAGGACCCATTCCCCCCGGCTTCTTCCAGGTAAGACCCTCGCTGATGTTGTTTTGTGGCCCAGCTGTCCTGGGATGATCAGTGCCGGCTAGTTAGCCTCTTCAGAAGAGGGATAGGATGTTCTGGGATGTTTCCAAAGCACATACGCAGCCAGGTTTGCAGCGGCGTTGCTGGCTCGAGCGGCAGCCAGATCCCTGATTAGTGGGCGTACAGGTGCTGAGCCGTCCTCCCTCTGTTCCTCCGCCGCTAATTATGGGACCTGCTAATCAGCAGGAATTATCAGTGGCATTAATGTTTAGCAAAGCTGTTAAACAAGTGCTTGCAAAATGGCTAATTAATTTCTGTTAATTAAGGCAAACTGCTCGTGGTAACTAGCAGCCTTTGCTCAGGCGGTGGGTTCACGCGCCTCTTCTCACGAGGGCTAAGGGAGATGCATTACAGCAGCAGAGTCTGTTCTGCGGAGAGCACAGTCATCAGTCTTCCTTCACCTCTGGGGGCAGAGGTGATTTGTCATTGAGCATAGCATGGAAACATGCCTCTAGGCCAGCTGTAGCTAGACTCCATCTCTGCAGTTGTTAAGGAACTATAGGCCCCAGCAAGCATAGATCCATGCCTCTGTACTGGTTGTAGCCAACACAAAAGCTTACAGGAACTACAAGTCCCAGCATTTCTAATTACTGTACTTTGAATGTGCATTATGGCCCCTCTGCTCTCTATAGCCAGATATTTTATGGACTACAAATTGCATTGCTAGCCCGGCTCCTCACCCTCATGTCTCCAATGCCTTGCTTGGCTATGATAATGGTTCTCCTGAGCTTTGAGCCCGTTCGTTGTTCTCTATAAACATGTGCCCATTTTATATGTATTCATATACTGTATGTGATGCACTTTCTGATAAGTAGTGCCACGCGGTGGGTGTCCTTTTTGCGATTTCACTTGGCTGACTGCTGTTAACTTCACACACTGATATCTAGAGTTAAAATCCACTGATCTATTTATGAAATTCAAATAGAATAAGGTAGAGCAAAGATATAACGTGAATGTCGCATTAAAATTGACTTCCTGATGAACAGAAAAACACACTAGATGTGCATTCATGTCATGCTCAAGCAGCATGCTGAGGTTAGGTCTACCACCTGCTGAATGGCTATTATCCCCAGGCGCATGTAGCTATAACCATGGCTTTAAAACCTGCTATCGCTACCCTGAAGCTTTCTAGCTGCTACAACAAACAAGGAATAAAGAGATCAGTCCCAGCAAATGCAGCTGTAGCTAAAGGAGGACCTGTCAGGTTCTGAGGAACTACTAGTCCGAGGAAGTAGCTAACTGTACCTCTTCCCCAGCTTTGGACATCCATGTCCTTGTTCCTGGTGCTAAAGGAGGACCTGTCGGGTTCTGAGGAACGACAAGTCCCAGCGAGTAGCCAACTGTACCTCTTCCCAAGCTTTGGACATCCATGTCCTTGTTCCTGGTGCTAAAGGAGGACCTGTCGGGTTCTGAGGAACTACAAGTCCCAGCGAGTAGCCAACTGTGCCTCTTCCCCAGCTTTGGACATCTATGTCCTTGTTCCTGGTGCTAAAGGAGGACCTGTCGGGTTCTGAGGAACAAGTCCAAGCGAGTAGCCAACTGTGCCTCTTTGGGCATCTGTGTCCTTGCTCGTGCGCTGGGTAACCTTGCATCTGAGGCTTTCCAGTTGCTAAAATCCGAGCAGTTGTTTTAAAAAAAAAAAAAAAATCATGCTTGTTATGCAACTAAATCTAAAAGCAAAAAAGTCAGCAGTCCTTTGTCTGAAAAAGGAAAACTAACACAGCCTTCCCTTCTATTGGCATCTTCAGCAAGTATAGACAATACCGGTCAGTCTTACCAGAAATGCAGTGTCCTTTTCACTTCTGTAAATGGAACCAAAATCACAAAACTTTCATGTGTAGACTACTTATCTCATCAGTCACTATGTAATGAAGATGAACAAAGGCAGACATTTGTAGTCCAGTCTGCGTGACAATTATTACGTAGGAGCTAGAATTGTCATTCACAGGCTTGCGAGATGACTATAAAGGGGGTAAAAAAGCCCCCCCACCCCCCAAAAAGAAAGCGAATGCAGCCGCCACATGTAAGGTCTGATAGAGGTTGACTACTGGTATGAATGAATACAATTAATGTAAAATAACTGGTTCCTCAGTGTACAATGTAATATTCTTGACAGATTAAAACTATGTATACCATTAGGGATATACCGATACTAGTACCGGTGCCGATGCCAAGTATTTGGGCGAGTACTCGCGTCATTACACGGCGCCCGGCTTCCCGTTTGTCCAAAAAGCGGGCTGCATGCTTTCTCAGCAAAATTGTAGAAATGTCACCAGCACACCAATCCTTAATTTATTGAAGTTTTTTGTCATATGACCAAACAAGCGCTTTCGGGACCGCACAGGGTCCCTTCATCAGGCTAAAGCGGTCCCTGTGCAGGCCCGAAAGCGCTTGTTTGGTCATATGACAAAAAACTTCAATAAATTAAGGATTGGTGTGCTGGTGACATTTCTACAATTTTGCTGACATTCGCGGCGCCATGCGCAGTCACTGCGAGCACCCCCCCACTACAAGGGACATATCGGTAAGGAGTGCGACAAGGAGAGTAATTACTGCATGCTTTCTGGTCACCCATTGACGAGAAGCATGGAGATGGCTTCCCTACTAATAGGGAAGCCAGGTGGCGAGTCTTTACATGCCATTACTCCTGGCTTCCTCAATGGGACTTCCAGATTCGGTATAGGCGAGTACCGGGAAAAAAAAGAATATCGGTACTCGTACTTAATACCGAAAAACTGGTATCTGTACATCCCTATATACTATCATATGATGATTACACACTTCTTGTCTATTATGTTGTAAACTCTACAAAACGCAGCATTATTTGCAAGTAGGGTCATCAGTGTACCCTGAAATACATTGGGGGGAATTTATCATAGCAATTGCGAGTGTTTGAACTTGCACGGAATATATTTGCACCAGATTTATGATGCTAGTGTAATGTTGATAAATGAGGTTTAATAGACTCCAGGAAAGAAGACTTCTAACTGCAGTCAAAAAGCTTAACTGTCGCATCTTGAAGAAGTGGTCATGGGGACTTCTTAAGTTGTAAGTGTTTTCTTAGGTGATGCTCCAGTTTCAGAGAGCCCAGAACAAGTGCAGATGGAAACTGGTGCCAAAAAGGTGCAAAAAACATGCAGTTGAAAAAGAAGTGCAAGCTCTGAAGAAAGCAGGTGCACATGTTAAAAGACAGATTTGTACATAAAATATGATCTAAGAGGGTAAAACTGTTGCAATTGCTTTGATAAATTTAACATTTTGTGTAAATAATGAAAAAAAGAACTGTAATATGCCCTCTTTTCATAGTCACTGTAAGGTATGTGTGTTCTCTTTAGCAGGGTCCACCAGGATCTCAGCCATCCCCTCATGCACAGCCACCACCTCACAACCCCAACATGATGGGTCCTCACAGTCAGGTAAGTCACCATTCAATTTCAGCTCCTAGTCAACACTGCCTCTGTTTGGTCCACATAGTTTTACCACCTAGGTGTAAGTGTATCCTAGGGAGGTTCCTCCACTCTATACAAAGCAAAAAAGAAGAGTTTGGGGTCAACACACACTTCATTACTATAACAAGATACAAGACGTGTGCTCACTTTGAATACTCTGCTTTCCTTTAAACTTAAGAAATGTAGTTACTAATGTAACCGCAGACTTTGACTGTCCTTACATGTGTATATTATCTAACCGATTGGGTTGTTCTAGATTATAATTGTGCTGTGTATGGTGATGCTATAACTTTTCCCAAGAACCTCTCCCAATATTACTTCTACCTGCACTTGTCCATCAATTAGACTTTACGTTTAATTTTATATTTTAATTCTAAATCTTAATGTACTTTAAGTATTCTGAATTAACATGTTCTTTCCTTATTACAGCCTTTTATGTCACCTCGATATGGCGGCGGGCCCAGGCCGCACATAAGAATGAGTAATCAGGTAAGTTATCATCTAGATATACGTATTTAGCGCACGCCGCACACACGCGTACAAAACTATATAAATTTATCATTGACACAATTAGGAATGCACCGATACCATTTTTGTTATCGAGTACTGATTTTTTTCCTTTTTTCGGTACTCGCCAATACCGATACCAGAAGTCCCAGTAAGGAAGCCAGGCAGCGTGTAATGACTCGCCACCTGGCTTCTCGATTAGCAGGGAAGCTGTCTCCATGCTTCCTCGTCACCAGGTGACGAAGCATGGAGGCGGTTTTCCGGCCAATCAGGAAGCCGGGGGCGGGTAATGACTTGCTGCCTGGCTTCCTGATTGGTCGAGAAACTGGCCAATCATGAAACAGGGCAGCGAGTCGTTACACTGCGCCCGGCTTCCTGATTGGCCCGGGCAGCCGGCTCCATGCTCCCTCGTCACCAGGTGACGAGGGAGCATGAAGCTGGCATCGGAGCATTTGTGCGAGTAAGAGTACTCGCCCAAATACTCTGTATCGGCACCGGTACTAGTATCGGTATCTGTGCATCCCAAGACACAATGATTCGCCGTTGACACATATTTATTACTCACGGTTGTGCTTTCTATGGCTGTAATATCAATAACGTGTGCTTTTGTTTTCAGCCACCAGGTGGAGTTCCAGGATCACAGCCCTTATTACCAAACTCCATGGACCCGACCCGACAAGGTAACCTGTCACAAAGCTGGCATTCATTTTTTAGCCCACTTTGTGGGAATTTCTCAATAGCTTGTCTTTTTATTCAAAAGGACACCCTGGCATGGGAGGACCCATGCAACGGATGAATCCACCCCGACCGATGGGCCCCATGGGTCCTGGACCTCAGGTGAGAATATACATTTTCATGGAACTTTTTGTTTTTCTTCTGTCGCCCGCTAGAGATTAACGTGACCTTACTTACCTGCGAGCCGAGCCTTTGTGCTGGAGCTGGTCTCTTCCCGAGCTTCATGCTCTCATTTCTTTGTAGTGGGGCTAGTGATTTTTTTCTGAGAAGTATTTGCTAGTTTTATGCCGTTGCAGGGCGTTGTTGAGTGATTGTTTTGTTTTTGTTACTTTGAAAGATTAGTCCTAAAATTAACTCTGCTGGAGTTTGCTCAATAATGAGACTGCTGGCAATATCTACAAATTTAAGTAGTCAATCGACTCAACCCATTAGAGTTTATGGAGAAGATTAAGCGCTAATGCTTTACATTGGTTCTTCTACATTGCGGCTCTGATCCCTCAGTCATTTGAGTAAATATCTTCAATATTCTGAATCACAATGAGGCAGATATGGGCTAGTGTCAGATGTTCACCGCAGACCGCATATCCAGCAAAGTACCCATGCAGTTCATAAAAGTTGGTCAGTCATTTGTTGCATACACAGGGAGCTATTAGCAGAATAGGAGTAAAGGGACTTAATCTAGTTGTATGTAATAAACGTAATATACTCTGCCAGATATGTATATTTTTAGAGCCACCTTTTTCCATAGAAACTATTGATGGCTTAACTGAACGTCTTTCCTACAGTGTCCTTCTTCTGCTTTTTTTTTTTTTTTTTTTTTTAAGACCTTCCTTTTGGTACATCTGTTCTATATCATTATTTCTACCCTCCTCCTAGTAAAGCCACATTTTCCCTTCTTCAACTGCACTTCGTTTATTCACTGTGCTGTCCAATGAGGAGAAAAAAATGTAGTTCAGACATATGGTTTTCATATACACTTCATGTACACTTTGCTGCTCATCTTTTCTGTTGCAGCCTTTTATATTAAAATATGATAGATTACAATATAAAGGGAAGTGTGGATATTATTTGGCATTTTAAATGGTGTTCTTTATTGAATATCGACTTAAAGCAGGCCTAAAACTGTGTGTGGTGTGTGTTGTTTTTTTTTTTTTGCCTTTGCACAAAAGCAGATATAGGCTCTCTGAGTATTAGCCCTTGCACAGGAGCTAAGGTGGGCTCTCTGGGTATTAGCCCTTGCACAGGAGCTAAGGTGGGCTCTCTGGGTATTAGCCCTTGCGCAGGAGAAGATCCTGACTCCCTCTGGGTATTAACCCTTGCGCAGGAGCAGATCCTGACTCCCTCTGGGTATTAGCCCTTGCGCAGGAGCAGATCCTGACTCCCTCTGGGTATTAACCCTTGCGCAGGAGCTAAGGTGGGCTCTCTGGGTATTAGCCCTTGCGCAGGAGCAGATCCTGACTCCCTCTGGGTATTAGCCCTTGCGCAGGAGCAGATCCTGACTCCCTCTTGGTATTAGCCCTTGCGCAGGAGCAGATCCTGACTCCCTCTTGGTATTAGCCCTTGCGCAGGAGCAGATCCTGACTCCTCTTGGTATTAGCCCTTGCGCAGAAGCAGATCCGGACTCCCTCTGGGTATTAGCCCTTGCACGTGAGCAGATCTAGGATCCCTTTGGGTATTAGCCTTTGCACGTGAACAGATCTAGGATCCCTCTGGGTATTAGCCCTTGTGTGGGAGCAGATCTGGCCTCCCTCTGGTCATTAGCCCTTGCACGGGAGCAGATCTAGGATCCCTTTAGGTATTCGCCTTTGCACGGGAGCAGATCTAGGCTCCCTTTGGGTGGCTACAGATGAATTTTAAGAAGGTTTCCCACAGAATGGACCGGACACCAGGGGGGTACGCACTGTTAAGGTGCCCATGCACTCTGCGATTATCATTCGGAAATCGGCCACAAATGGTCTTTTGATCAGTTGATGGGACACCAACTATTTTAATTAATATACTTCTAGCTGAATTTACTTGAACGGTCCGGCTGGAAAACTTTTTTCGAATAGTAATCAAAACTATGGATTAGTGGCGTTTTTTCGTACGAAACAAATTGCAGCAAGAACACTGCACATGCGCAAACGAAAATCCGTTCTGTCGATCGACAAAATTCAGTGAGTTAGTATTGCTAACGAACAATTCTCGAAATCGTCATTGGTCTGTGCTTGGTGAGGCAGTCATGTGGAAATCGAAAGAAGGTTTCTATGGCTGCACAAAGGAAATCGAACGATGACTGCAGAGTGTATGGCCAGCTTTACACTCTAACATGCTACCTGGCACATTTGTGAACTCTTCTTATTGTATTTTTACCATGAACTGCATGTTTAGTGTAAAAAAAAGAAATGTAATCTGCTGTGCACAAGTCTTTTTATTGTTGCTAAAAGGACTTGAATGTATAAAAAAGAAAAGGAAAAAAAAAACCAGATTATTTTAGAACGTAACATATATTTCAAGTGACAGGTCCTCTTTACATATATTCATCAACATCGTCATAATGTTGTCATAAAAGAACTGAGTGAAAAATGCGTGATACTGACGGCACTTTGGAAGAAGGAGCACTGTAGTGCAGGCTTTGTTGTTCCTTACCTTGTAATTGACAAGATACCTCTGGAGAAACTATTATAATTAAACTAACATGAATCTGGTGACTGCTCTTCTCCCTCTGTGGGACAGCGAGGCTGGCAGATTTCCCCGAGGGTCAGGCAGTTAATGCTCTGTGTCCTGTCATCGAAAATGTGGATCAATGCAAGCGTTAATCATATTAGACTCCGACTAATTATGATAATGATCCTGCCGCTCTTTTGCATCATTTGCATTATTAGTCGATAATTGTACTGTTACTAGATGGCTCTTCAGTCTGCACCACTAACCCTCTCATTTTCTTCTCTCCCGCCTCTCTCCGGTTGATCCCTCGTTACCGTAGTCTGACCCTTGGTTATCATTGCAGAATTATGGAAGCGGGATGCGGCCTCCACCCAATTCATTAGGTCCCGGCATGAACATGTAAGCATTGTCAAAGTAGGGAATGCAGCTTGTTTACTGTGTTGAGGAAGTTTTGCTGTAATATGCTTTCTTGTATTGTGTTTCAGGGGTCCAGGAACAGGCAGACCATGGCCAAATCCAAATAATGCAAATTCAGTAAGTGTCAGTTTAAAATGCATCGAAACACTGACTTGTTTTTTATTCTCATATCCAGTGTCTGCAAAGCGCTAAAGGTCATATCCATCTGGGGAATATGCTGTAGGGAGATACTGGGGGGACCATTCTGCAGGCAGACCTGGGTGTACCATTAGGCACTGTAGGCACATGTCTATATGTTGCAGAGGCAGAGAGGTGGCCTTTCCCTGTATAACTATAGATCACATTGCCTCACCCCCACCCCCCCACCACCACCACCTCCATCATCGGTAAGGAAAGTGGGAATACACTTAAGGAAAGGAAGGAAAGAAAGGAAAATACACAGATGCCAGATTTTCGGTATCTAGTATGAGTACAGATATTTTTATTTCTCGCCACCCGGCTTCCTGATTGGCCAGAAAGCCGGCTCCATGCTTTCTCGTCACCTAGTGATGAGAAGCATGGAGACAGCTTCCCTGCTAATCGGGAAGCCGGGTGGCGAGCAATAAAAATATCTGTACTCATACTAGATACCGAAAATCTGGGTATCCCTGTGACAACACTCACTCACTGTACTGTATCTATGTAGGAGCAGCGTTGTCACCCAGGAGATGTGCTAGAACTACGGAACACCCCATGTCCTCATCTTCATAACTGCCAGCACAGGCAAATGGCAAATTAAGTTCACAGTTTTTCTGTACTTCATTGTTTTTTCAAAGGATCAAACCTCGTGAAATTTGCATGTATGGGAGATGTACTACTGTAATTATTTATATATATTTTTTTGCACTTGCATACATTTAAAATGTTCCTATTTCAGTGGGGACATACTGTAGGATAGTGGGTAGATGTCTGTGGATATACCGTAGTCTCATCTTTGTACTTTGTTTACAGAATCCGTACTCTTCCTCGTCACCTGGCACATATGTGGTAAGTTGGAGGAAGCGTTCATATTTTAACGAGTTTTTTAATTCCTGACAAGTTCTCTATGGTGTTTGTCTGTGTTGGGTAAAGCAACTAATCTCCTCCACTCTTCCCTTCTTGTAATATAGCATTGCTTTTTCACATGCCTTTTGCATACTTAACAGCCAAGATACTATAACCTTGTATTTGGAGAATTGAATTAGTATTTCTGAAGATGTCTGTAGGTATGGGATGTCTTCCTGAGAATGATGGGCGATCAGGTATCTGTCCATCCTCAAAAGAGACCAACACTTCTGTATGCTCTGCAATACCTGGCTGTCCATTACAGTGGTCCATTTTTCCTCCATTGAAGGAAGGATTGGACCACGTGCTTCCTGTTTGAAAATCATCTTGTTTAGTGTGCACCCCGCTACCCCCAAGGATGCTCTTAAAGGAGAACTATGGGGTTAGGGCTTTTCCCCATAGTTCTCCTTAGGGTAACGGAAGGACACAAACTAGCGTCCTCCCGTCACCCTAAGCTCAGTATACCGCGAACTACAGCTCGCGGTATACTGAGACGCCGCAGCTGAAGCAGATCCCGACAATTATGTCTGGATCCGCCCAGCTGCGTGAGTGACAGCTGGCTCTGCCTATCTAGAGGCAGAGCCAGCTGTACCCGCCCCTTCCCCCGTCCGTTCCGCCAGTCATCGCTGGAGGATCGGGGAGGGGGGAATCCAGCCACTCCCATGTCACGGCAGACCGTGACAGGATCGAGAGGTGAGCGAACGCCGGTATGTGTTCGCTCACTTCCCGATCTACTGAGCCGACCTGTGACCAGTCTCATTGTCACAGGTCGGCTAGAACTATGAGGTGAGTGAAAAGCATAGTTCTCCTTGCTTGCTCCCTCATAGTTCTCCTTTAACTCCCATTTGGAGAGATGAAAATTGGGAGGCATCCTTTAAGATCACTGGAGATTTATGGGCGCCCAAAACAAAGTTGAAGTTAAATTACCGTACAGTTAAAGTTTGATTTAAAAGTACCGCTGCAAACCTTTTGAGGTCCATCTGTCCTTTAGCTGTTCTTTAACACTGTGGCCTTTGTTGGGAGACTCCGTGTATATACTGGAAATAGTCTTCACTGTGATTCACAGGCAGAGTTGGATACAAGAGTGATTGCTGTAGGAGCGTTACAGCAGCACATCATAGTGGCATAGCCCGAGTAAGGTTATGCCCCCTTTCCCATATCATAGGCCTCAGAGCAGTCTTGTTTGGAGTAATCACTAAAGACCAAATATCACAAATACTAGAACACCCTTACATTCCTGTAACAGTGCAGCCATGGGATGTGTAAAGGTTTATTTCCTGTGGTTACCTTCTCTGAAAGGTTTCCCCCTGGAGATGTGGGTTTTTTTGGTTGATATGGGTTCAGTTGTTATGGTTTCTTGGCTGGACCCAGGATACATCTTGGATACTTCATAACTCCTACATACATAGCACTACGTTACATGTGTGCCCAGTGCTTTGATGAGCTTGCTGCTAGTGCCTTGGAGATAGTTTAACATGGTTTATATAGCACACTGGATTCTGCAGCAATTAATTTAGGCGTTTGGTAATCCTAGTCCAGGGGTTAGGCAACCTTGGAACTCCAGCTGTGGTAAAACTACGATTCCTATCTTGACTCAGCCTCTGGGGGTCATGCATGTGGCTGTCGGTCTTGCAGTGCCTCATGGGACTTGTAGTTTCACCAGACTTGGCGTGCCGAGGTTGCCTACCCCTGTCCTAGCCACTTCATTATCCCTTTGGTCTATTGTTCAAACGTCTTTAAACCAGGACCTGTTTTGTGTGCTTACAGGGGCCCCCTGGTGGCGGAGGACCTCCAGGAACACCGATCATGCCCAGCCCTGCAGGTGTGTATATTTATTCTACCTATAAATGTGTGCTGAACATGACAATGAGCTGTTATCTGTTAATACACTCTGGTAACATAGCTGCTCTGTCCTTGTGACATAAAGTACACCTGTCATGAGGGAAATGCATCAATCGCTGACGGCTTTTGGAAAATTCTAGTTGACTGGCAGTTATGCCAACCCACTGGTTCCAGTACTTTCTGAATGGTAAACCTGAAGGAAGTGCTGGGATCAGGAAAATTCAAAAGTCTGTCCTATTGATGGTGATATTGTTTGATTTGATAACAAGTGATGATGAACCATGATTTAGTAATTCTTGCTCCTCATTGCTGGATATGTAGTGATCTCTGCATCGATAGGACTCTTCCCTTTTCTATGGAGACTAAGTACAGTCGCTGCACTAATACAGATTTTTGTGCGTGAGATGATCTCCTGCCAGGTGATCTATACAGCTCAGGAGGTGCTGTCTGTGCATTCCAAGTGTCAGTTTGTATTTGATCACATTGCCTATCTCTCTCTCTCGATATAGTTTTGAAATGACGGGTTTTTTTTGCAGTTGCTGATAGCGTTTCATTTTTGTCTTTTACAGAGTCGACAAATTCAAGTGACAACATTTACACAATGATAAATCCAGGACCCCCCACAGGGAACCGGTCAAATGTAAGTACATAGACAAATTCCTATAGATGTGTATGAGAGTCTGATCCAGTGTCCAGCCATGTTTGGCTCATTGTCTTTGATGTTCAGCAATGGCAATGAGGGGATGGTGGTGGTATTGGGCAGCTCATGAAATTGGAGAGTAAAGTAATGTTTGCTTGTTTTTTACTTTAGTTCCCGATGGGACCTGGTTCCGATGGCCCTATGGGAGGAATGGGTGGAATGGAACCTCATCATATGAACGGGTCATTAGGTAAGCGACGTAGCTTGGAAATTCTCTTTATCACATTTACTTTTACATTCTAGCCTGATTTACATGAATGTCAATGTCTGTGACTTCTAGTGATTACTATTCTTCTTTTTATTGGTTTTCCATAAGGGTCTGGAGACATGGACGGACTTCCTAAGGTGAGAAGCTGCATGTTTTTGCATGCTGGTCAAATGCTAAGCCCTTCATTAGTGTCTGATTTATGTTTTGTGGGTTAATGCGCCTGTACCTGTGGTGGTTATACAAATGAGTATTCTCTCGGTTCAGTAGGGTAAAGGCTTAGTTAAAGAGAAACTCTCAGTATGATGATAAAGGAGCTGCATTTGCTGACTTGATTTTGAAGGTGAATTAACTTTGTGCTTCACTAGGACATCTGATATGTACATACTTGTTCCTGACCATTCATCATGTAGTGAAGGTACATACAATAGTCCTGGTGCTTATACCTTCAAAAACAAGTCCCCATTGGCATCTCCAGTGTTTCTTCCTGACTTCTTATTTTTAAGAGTCAGACTTCCACAACCATTTGTTTTCTGGGCAGATGCTTGTAGGAGTTACCTGCTTGTATACCTCTTTGGTATTCTGCTGGTGAGATCTCTGCACCTTAGTGCCCAGGATTACCTCCTTACAGGGAATGCTGCAGTCTGAGGCAGAATCCATGGCTGAATGAATTCAGAACCAGAACTCCCCACATTTCAGATATAATAGGGCAGTGGGTGATGGAGTTGTCCAGCCATAGTTAAATTAAGCTTTGGGTGGGATGACCAAGGGCATTCATGTGCTGCATCCTTTAAAGGAGAACTATGGGTTCAAGGCTTTTCCCTATAGTTCTCCTAAGGGTCACGGGAGGACCTGAGGCTGAGTGAAAATCACTCTCCTCATAATTCTCCTTTTTACTGCATTATTGCAACACATGAACTATGGGGTGTTATGCTGCTATCAATTTTAAATGACAACCCAGTGCACTCTTACAGTAGTAGTCACCGCATTGCACATGTGCTGTGCTGTAAAAAAAAAGTCCAGACACGTTTACTTGCATTGATGCTCATTATTTGGCCATGGGAGGTCTTATTGAAAACATGTAAAACACGCACAAATGTCAAACAAACATCCCATCGCACTCCTGACCGGATACAACCCGAAACATTGGGTGGGTGCTGTAATGCCTGCGGGTGAGATTTAAAAAATAGTCATCAGCACACCAAAGCAAAGGTATGTCGCAATCTGTAACGACGTTTCGGAACCATTTCAGTCCCTTCAGATCACTCCGTTTGCCTCAAGGGGCTGAAATGGTTCTGGAACTTCGCTACACATTATGACATACCTTTCTTTTGTCAATAAAGAAGAATTGGCAGCATTTATTTTGGTGTGCTGGTGACTAATTTTTGAATTTGCAAATGCCATAAAATACACATGTACAGAGTCATATATGGAGGCTGCCATCCCGTTCCTAGTCTTCCTCTGAAAATGCAGTTGCCTGGCTGTTTCTGGCTTCAACAGTTACCCAGTCACTGACAAGCAACAAGCATATGGATCAAGAACATCAGATCAAATCCGTATCTCCATACTTGTCTGAGGTAGGTACTGAAGCCATAAGACAGCCTATTAACTTTTTTTTTTTTTAAATGATGGAAGAGTTGGCAATGGGCAGCCTTCATACTTCCTCACCACAGGTTCTCATTAACCAGTTTACAGCAGCTTAGGCTGCCATTGAATTGTAGCTCGTAGACTCTCTCATACACTGTCATACACTGTCATGACCTAATTACACCTGTGCTATTCCCATGTTTAAATGACAAGCCGAGTAGTATGCAAGACGTGAACATTACTGGAAAGGCTTAACCAGGCTTGCTTATTAGGTAGAATTGTGCTGCATTGTATAGGAGGTCTGTAGAAGTGATGGCATCCTATAGAAGTATGGTGCCGTGGAGAATCCATGGGCTACTTCCAAATGTCTTTTGGTCGAAACCAAACGGCGAGTCGTGTTATATTAAAAATCGTTTTTTTGTTCTCGCTTCACAGAATTCCCCAAACAACATAAGTGGCATTAGCAACCCTCCAGGCACACCACGAGATGACGGAGAGTTAGGAGGAAACTTCCTTCATTCCTTTCAGAATGACAATGTGAGTATTCTGCTAACAGGCAAATATTCTCTCTAGCAGAAGACTATTGTTGGAGAATTTCTAATCTAAAGTGGGTTTCTAAAGATCGACTTAATATTGAATTGTAAAACAAGTGATTATAATTGTGAAAAAGGAAGGTGGGTAGGGTGGTGGGATTCAGAAGACCTCCACAGGAGTCCGCTGTTCAGCTTGAAGAATGATTTGTGTTGGAATATTGACTCAATTTTCTCAGCAGCGACTATCCAGGATTTTTGTACTCGCCGTAAAATCCCTTTCTCTGCGTTCATTGAAGGACACGTCCATAAGATCTTGACCACTGTCATTCTTTTTGCCTAGCGTTTAAGAGATCCGACCTAGATTTTTTTTTTTGTTGCTGGGCTCTGATAAGGCATGACATCCCCAGGAGGAAGCAGAATGCCTCCAGATGCTGCAGGCCAGAGGTGGTACTGTGATGGACCCAATCGTTCCATCATATGCACCACCAGTGGAGGAGAAGAAACTCCCAACAGGCCACTCCACAGGCATAGAGTTGTCGCAGTCGGTCCCACCTAGGCAGGGAACTGCATGTGCTCGCAGGCCACACTGGGGTGAGTACCGGGATCTATGTATCTGGCCTGTCACCCAGTCGGCTCTTGTTTGAAGAAGGAAAAAACTGGACCGAAGAGCCCAGCATGAAAATCTAGCTCCTATCTCTTAAACGCTAGGCAAAACACTGACCAATGTCGAGATCTTATGGTGAATGTGTCCTTCAATGAACGGAAGAGAAATCCAAACGTATATGGCAGGTGTAGGCAACCTTGGCACCCCCACCTGTGGTGAAATTACAAATCCTTGTGCTGCCAGTCTTGCATTGCCCCATGGGGGATGTAGTTCCACAACAGCTGCAGTGCCGAGGTTGCCTACTCCTTGTGTATGGCTAGCCTTGTCTCCTGATATTTCTTTTATGTGGCGTCCACATTCGTTATCCCTAATCCCTCCGTCTCCTTTTTGTAGTACTCTCCCAGCATGACTATGAGCGTGTGACACCAGTGACAACTCTTCACTCAGCTGCTGCTTTGGAAGATTACTGAGATTGCCGGAGACCGTTGTCTGGAGTTGCAGAAGAGGATTAAACAGCTCCTTCAGTTTGGTTTCATGCAATAAAAAGCCAAAACTTTTTATTCCATCAAACACAGTTCAAAAACTGTCAAGACAAGAAAATCCTTCTCAGAGGATTTATATCTGTACATAAAACTTTTTTTTTCATTTTTTTTTTAATTTGCAAGAGAAGGAAATTTCAAGTTATGAATATGATTGCTGTGTACTTTTTATATTCCCCTTTCCCCCCCCATTGTTCTATGTCTGTGACGTGATATTCAAGGAGAATAGCTCAAATAGGAAAATTCATGTGTCTTTAGTTTTTAGCTTTTATTTTTTTGTTGAATGGACTGAGGTTTTCAGTTGCCCACTTCCCTCCAAAGAGATTTCTGTGCAGTCCCGGACCTCTGGAAATTATTATTTTTTATTTTTGTTTTCACTGTGCAGAAGCGGTCAGAACTGCACCTCTTTACCTCATACAAACACTTGATCTCCTGTTTAAACACCTAAGACTATGTATGTTTTTGTTTTTTCTTCTTACCTCTGCGAGAGAGAGAGAGAATTTACCACAAGCTCCCAGAATCAAGAGGACACACTCGGCGCACAAAGGGATTTTATAGGACCGTGCGGTGACCGGCACCGCGCCACATTTTTACGTAGCGGTTGCAGACTCTGGACGGGTGAAAAACATTCATTTGTGAGGCGGCTTGGTGCGTTTCGGAGCTTCTGGCGCCACAAAACAACGACCTTCCCTCATACACTCCTGCTGCACAGCTGCCATCGACCTTACAGATACGACTGCCTGGTCTGTTCCCCGTCACACCATTGTTGGCCCAGAACAACTTCAGCTGACAACACAACACTGTATTTTATTTTTATTTCTTTTCCGAGTAACTCAGAATTGGGAACTTTGAACGCACCTACACATGACTTCGCTGGTCATTTGCTCAATAAAAGGGACAGTTTGTGTAGGATGTTGGAGTTTCTGATCATAATGTCAGGTTTTTTTTTTTTTTCTTCCTCTTTGTCCTTTTTTATTTGTCAGGAGTGACTGGAAGGAAGGAACAATAGCAGCTCCTCTCAGGACATTGTTAAAAAAGAAATTCCTTGTGTATTCGAAAAGGGATAGTTAAATTATTGTCTCTTGGTATGGGACAGCTTGGAATGATATGGTAATTTTTTTCCGCCTCCATGCTGTAATAAATTTAATAAATTCAAACAAATATCATGGTTTTATTTCCTGTTTTTTAAAAATTAATTAAAAAGCATATACATGGGTGGGAGATTAAATGAGGAGCTTGCAATTTGTGTTCTTTTACAGCAAGGGGTAGGCAACCTCAGTGCTCCAGTTGTAAAGAAACTACAAATCCCATAATGCTTTGCGAGTCATGCGTGATGCAATGCCTCATGGAAATACAGCAGCAGGAGTTCCAAGGTTGCCTACCCCTGTTTTTTGTTTCCCTTTCACATGGGTGCCGTCGGTTCCAAACAGCAGGTAGCCTGTGCAACAGATCTGCTTATTGGAATGGATGGAAGCAAAAACTGAACTGTACGGACCGATGTTGGCTCTTTGGGGAGTCGGATATAAGTTGACGTGTCTGACATTCATTTCCCTCCGATCTGTCACAATCAAGTCCTGCAATATTTTGTTTTTCTGTTAGTCCCCCTAACCTAGGCGGAGTCATGGGTAATCAGATGTAAATGGACGTAGGTCTGTTTACAACCGGCTGCCCATAAAGTTTTACAGTGGACAGGTGGACCTAATCACTCTAAAAGGGCCTTAGATTCACTTCAAGAACTAGTTATGAGATTGGGTAGGTGATTCATCTTACTGGTATCATCTCATATCTATTGTGGGATATCAGCAGGCAATTGTAAAGTAAAAGTTTGCAGGAATGGTCAATTGCTGTGCAATTATGCTTAGCTGGTAAATAGTCTGCCTTCCATCTTTTAGAACAGGAAAGAATATTCTCTGGAGGTAGTGACAACAGCTAGACTACTAGCTAACAGCCATATACACTATATAGCCAAAGTATGTGGACATGCCTCCAAATGACTGCATTCAGGCGTCTCCTGTGAAGGGCACTGTTAATGCTGCAGCATACAAAGACATTTTGGACAATTATGCGCTTGTGGCAACTGCTTGGGAAAGACTATCTTCTTTTCCAGCAAGAGTGTACCCCTGTGCACAAAGCCAGCTCCATAAAGACCTGGTTTGACCCAGTTTGATGTGGACAATTAAGAATGGTCTGCACAGAGCCCCTCAACACCTTTTGGGATAAATTGGAATGCTGATTTGTGAGTTAAAGTGATATCAAAGTAATTAAATCACTTACAATGGATGCTGCTTCCTGATTTAAAAATGTGTTTCCTGCAGAATCAGCTGGTCCCCTGAGCAATGACCCTGACTTCCTGTTAGTGACTCCTTTGTGCTATGCAGTCACCCTTGTGTGTGCTAGTAAGCGGTGTGTCTCCACAGACAGCAAATCAAACTACTTCCTGCCCCTTCTCCAAGCTAGTAGATGGATATTTGCTGGAGTCTGCTTTATCCTTTGTGCTCTTGTACTGGACAGGAAGTTCAGGGAAGCTGAGCTGAGAGACTTTGAAGCAGCTGTTCAGAAACATGACTACTTGGGCAAAATGTGAAGCAATGCTTTGCTGGGCGATGTATATTTGTTTGATCTGGATTCATTATTCTCAAAAACATTTGAGAGTTTAATACTACTTTAAGTCTTCTCATCCAACATCGGTACCTGACCTCAAAAATGATTTTCAATGAATGTCACTGGAACACCTAAAATCTTGTGGAGAGGAGTGAGGACTTTTATAGATGCAAAGGTCGACCGACCCAACATTGAATGCCCATGGTTGCAGAGTGGGATGTCTACCTAACCTATAGGTGTGGTGGTGATGTGTCCACGTATCAGCTGATGTATGGAAATAACATTACAAGCTGATTGTATGTAATGACCATTGTCTCACCTGTCCATCTTGGTATACTTCATCAAGGTGTGTATCTTCCAGTCTCGGCTATGGATTAGAGGTGTCACTGTGGGCATTAGCAAGTCTAGTGAGAGAGACTGCTGCATAGGTCTGACTGTACAATGATCACTTACATTGGGGCTAGTCAATAAAAAAAAATTGAGTGAACCTTTGGCCATAGCAACCACATCTCAGGCTCCATTTTCATGGTAGGGCTGAGAGATCACACATTGTCATCAGCCATAGTTTCCTTTTTGCTGCAGATTTTATTACCCGCAAGGTCATTTCTGCTTGACACCGTACCTAAATGTGTAATCATACATCATAGATGACCTCTGTAACAATGCTTTTATGCAAACAGAGGGTTGAGCCTCTCCTAACCACACTATTGGGCCATAATAATGATGGGTGACCACTCCTAACATTTGTACATAGGCTGCCAATGCACCATAAATATAGCCAACTCCATTCATTTCCTAAATGTGTTTTGAAAACCAAATGTAATGTTAGACGGCATTTGTCAAGCCTCTGACTTTATTATTTATATGAATGTTCATGTGAAACTCAGCGTATGGCTAGCTTAATACACACACAATGAAATGAGGTGTCACTGGTTGTTGGGTTTTACCCTGTAGTTATTACATAATAGAAGCCTGATTCTCCTATGCTCATAAACCGCTATAGTTATGATTAGGGATGCGCCGACTAGTATCGCTATCGGTGCAGATTCAGAGTATTTGGGCCAGTACTCGTACACGCCCAAAGGCTCCGATGCCTAGCATGTGTACTTCCGGTATCAGGAAGCCGGGCAGCGCGTCATTACGCGCTGCCCGGTTTACAGATTGGCCGGGAAGCGGCTCCATGCTCTCTCGTCACTTGTGATGAGAGAGCATGGAGCCAATCAGGAAGCCGGGCAGCGTGTCATTACAGCGTGCGTGGCTTCTTGATTGGTCGGGAAGCTGGCCTCGTGAGGTAAGGTTACCTTACCATGTGCAGCCTGTCACCCCCAGGGCCTCTCCAGCGAGAACGCGGCCTTCCTCCGGTACCCAGCCGGAGCCGTCTGTCCGGCCAATCAGGAAGTCGGGCGCCATGTAATGACGCCTTGCTTTCTGATTGGCCCGGGAAGCTGGCTTCATGCTCCCTCGTCATCTCATGATGAGGGAGCATGGAGCCGACCTCCTGGCCAATCAGAAAGCAGGGCGTCATTACACGACGCCCGGCTTCCTGATTGGCCGGACAGACGGCTCCGGCTGGGTACCGGAGGAAAGCCGTGTTCTCGCTGGAGAGGCCCCGGGGGTGACAGGCTGTAGATACGAAGGTAAGAAGGGACTTTCTAGTTAATTGGGAAGCCGGGTGGCGAGTCTTTACACGTTTCCCGGCTAATCAGGAAGCCAGGTGGCGAGTAATTACACCCCACCTGGCTTCCTGAATGGGACTTTCGGTAATTGGTATCGGCAAGTACCGAAAAAAAAATGATCGGTACTCGCTACCAAAATACCAGTTTTCGGTGCATCCCTAGTTATGATTATGGAAGGCAAGGCACCATTGATTAATTCACCATTGGGTATGGATGGGAATTCCAGGTTCCACCTAATACTCGCCTACTGCACAAGCTCACTGACCATTCATAGAAGACTAAGTGAGCACACAGCTTTGGAAATAAGACTTATAGGAAAATGTCATTGCCCTTCAAGCACAATGGTGTTACGATTGAGACATCTCATTCTCTGAGGAGAAGGTACCACTACCATTGATAACATTAAACTTACAGTGACAGGTTCCCTTAGAAGATATTTGATCTTGTACAGCCTTTAGTAAAAGCCACAATATGTTCAAATGAAATATGCCATCTGGATTGGTTTGTATCCGGTTATTCCTATAGAGGATAGGACGGCATACATATAGATTTGTAGAATCTCTTTCTATTCTCTAGAGCCAGTGAAAGGCTAAGCTCCACCACTCGTGTTTTATTAGTAGGGGAGGTTTTGGCTCAGGAGTACAAAGTCATATGTTAAATGTATTTCTTGTGGTTGTGGGGTAGACTGGCTCCTCTTTCATTGGTGGTATTTTCTAGTCCAAAGCTCTCTACTTGCCATAATTGCCTAAAGGTACCGTGTTGTACATATAGATACTGAATAGTAATTGGATTGGACCCAGGGTGAAATTGGGAAACTGTTTAAGGTTTTACTTTATCCTAAACTATAGTGGTTACCATTGCTGCCCTCCTAATGTACTAACTGCCTGGCTTTAATTCTTTCTGCAGCTGCCCAAGCTTTATGGAAGCAGGTCTCTGCCATTCTTTTAACTAGCTCTATGGAATTATCGGAGCAATTTTTCTTTTTGTCCAACTATCTTAGAACAGATGATATCTACACCCAGAACTGCTGGTTTAGGCTAAATTCTACAGGCTACCGGGGCAACTAGTTTGTGTTTAGAGGCACCCAATCACTGCTGCATTCTGTGCTATGGCCACATACAAACTGGCCGATTAGCTGCAGGCACAAACGCATTCCCTGGATGCAAAATGTCTGCACCCTGGGTCGGATAGAAGCAATCAAGGCCTATGAAGACAATGGTGCTTGTAGTGATGAAGACGGATGGCACCGTGCAGACACAATATAGGAAAAGGAATCACCAGCACTCAGTGGAATAATCCAACAAATCCATTTGTTAGACGTCACACAATCACAAGAGCCTGCACCCAGGGTCTGTCAGAGGCTCTATTTGCATGTAACCACTCGGCTGAGCAGTTACATGTGCACATTGGCACAAACAGCCACCGATTTGTATAGAATACATGACAGCCACCATGGCTTGTTTTTCCCCACACTGTATGCACGCAGCATTTGACTCCTTTGGGAAGAAACACTAGATTCATACAGCGGCCTCCCCCGTGAATGGGCCATATAGCCAGATGCAGCCCAATATTAGAGAGCCATTTATTCCAACTGCGTACAGTTGTTTTAGGCTTGCTGGCAGAAGCAGTGCCTAAAACAGCTTCTATAGAGTAGGAATCATTGAGAAGTATAACCAGACAGGTCAGGTTCTACTTTCTCATTGGTCCCCGAACTACAGGCCAGATGCAGGACTTTGCTTGCCTTAGTATTCCTTCCATTGACACCACAGATGGGGGACTATTCCTACCATTAATAGCAACAATGGGGTGCTGCTCTTTTTGTTGACAGCCCAGTGAAGGAGTACTATTCCTTCCACTGACACCCAACTATGGGCCATTATTTCTCCTCCCTCTGACCACTATTCCTCTTTGACACAAAGGATGTGACATTTTATTCCCACCACTGGCCACAGCCTAGCCCCACTAAAGTATAAAAGGACAGAACTAGCCCTTTGTTTAGAAAGTTTTCTGACCCCGTGCCCTACTCTATAAAGGGCTTGTTCACACCATGGCCGGATCATGTCCAGACCAGAACAGTTTGTTCCTCGACAAAAAAAAAAAATCATCCCAATGTATCCCTAAGGTATTGCTGGGCTCTGTTTACACCAGCGCGGTTCGGTTCAGACCAAAAAAATACTGCTTGTCATTTTCTCTAGTCTGGAACACATCAAATGCACTGCAACACATGTAAGCCCATTTAAAGCTAAAAAAAAAAAAAAACGCAGCAATGCACCATGTTCCAGAAAATGGTGTGAACCTGGCCTAAAAGTTGCTGGGTCCATACGCTGTACTTATGCGGGTACACAAGCTTGAAACAGCTGTATGCAGTTTGAACTATAATGCTTTACCTGTTCTCTAATCCTGCAGCTCCGCCCACTATTCTAAAATGAGGAATAACCTGATATTTTAGGGATTTGTGATGGTATATACTTTGTTCTAAAAAGCTTGACTGTGCACCACACTGGCCCACTGGAGGTCCTTGTAAACAGATGTTGTCCAATGATGACATGACACAAGCTTACATAAATATCAAATGTTTAATCCATAAGCTGTATGTACAGACATCTATCTCCCTGCTTATCTAGACTGCCCCGTGCAGGTACATTGACCAAAACTTCAGAAATGTTTCTGCATGGAGTCCGGAGACTCCGGCGGGTACCTGAAAGAAGAGAAAACATTTTATTACCATTATTAAATTATTTGGTTGTCTGTACAGATCAGCGGATCTATATTGGTAACAGTCCTCGCACCTTGTGACAACATTGGCAGTAAAACAGACATCTGAACAGTGTACAAAAATGTTGTAAAATAAGAAATGACTTTAATCCCGGGTATATCAATTTGTATTTCTATAGCGCTTTTCTTTCTGGGGACTCAAAGGAGGTGAGGCAGCCATCTTGGCCATGCTCATCTCAGGCAAAAAAACGACCAGCTTTTCATACTGGAGTATGGCAGGAAACCCATGCTAGCACAGGGAGAACATGCAAACTCCATGCAGATAGTGTTGTGGTCAAGTCCTGTTGTAGGGATGGAAAGGGGGGGAGGGGGGGGGTGAAAGAGGCACACCCTAATTAACAGGGACGCCATAGAAATTCCACATTCACAAAGCTCATTTATTAAACCGATTGGCAAAATGTGGTTTCCCACAGCAACCAGTTCCTTTAAAAAATTGTCAAGCTTGTTATCAGAGAAAGCAACTTGGAAGGTAGTTACCATAGACAGACAGTTCTGCTCATTAAAAATAGAATATCTGTGCTCATACTGAACCCAGGGCACCAGCACTGCATGTAACACAGTCTGTCTATGATGGGAAGTATTGCTGGTGGGCAGTGATGGGAATGGCGCACAATCCTCTATACATTGCTGCTGAATAGGTTAGTGCCATACAATACACTGATCTATGAAATGTGAACACGTCGGCAGCATGTTGTCTCGGTGGTTAGCACTGATACCTTGTATATATTCTCCCCCTATTAAGGAGATTGTACGTGAGAATTTCCTCCCACGCCATATTAATATAACTGGCTTCTGGCCAAACAGACGACAGGCTGAAAGCTCTTTCGGGGGACTGAGACGAATGAGAACGATTTCATGTAATCTGTAAAGAGCCGGAGAATATATTGGAGCTATAGAGACAAATTCAGATACGTGATCCTTAAAGTGTCATTAAATCCTAAAATGTTAATAGCAATTACAGCAGCTGACCTCAGCACTTCTCTTATACGCTTCTATAAAAGCTTGCCGTTCTTCTTAATTAAGCCGCTCCAAAGAGGACTGCCCCAGGTTTTCTGTTGCCTACATTGCAGTGTGCTTTGGAGCCCCATTGTAGCCAACCTTGTATGCATCATCCCAACCCTGGGTTACAGATGAATATCTCTACACTGTGTGCATTAAAATAACAGATGGCCCTAAAGCCCAGGACAGCAAGCTGCTTCCCTCATCTCCAAGCTAGTAGGTTGACAGCAGATTGAGACTGTGCTGTCCCTTGTGACATGCTCTATGTGGTACAATCCCTGACTAGCAGTTCAGGGAAGCAGCGCTGCGGGAGCTGGAGTCAGTGACTTTGAAACCTATAAACTGTATGTGCTTAGGCACAAATAGAAAGAAATACGTTACTGGGTAATGTTTATTTGAGGGATCTGAATACCTTAATGCAAAAAACACAGAGTAAGGGCAGGCGGGGGAACCCATACAACGTCATTTCCAGTATATTTCCCCAGCCAGGGAGCCACAGATGCTGCCTACAGCCTCCCATAGAAGTCAATGGCTGTACAAAGCTATACACAGGTATGTCTGAGTTGCAAGGTACTGGTATTCAGAGCCCAACCCCAAATACCAGCCTGTCTGCAGCCGCTGTACGCATGAGCATGTTTACTCAAATTTGGCATATACCCGCACAGCCTTCTATGGGGTGGACCAATAAAAAAAAACAACTGAGCAGATTCTAACCCATCCAGATGTTCCACTTATCAGCAAAACCAAGTACAGGGTACCCAAGAAGTGTCAGATCCCTGTTGTCAGTGGTTCTTCCTGCTGACCCCTACGTCACGAAGAATACAGTGACAAAAGTAAGGGCCGGTAGGAAGAACCAAAGAGCACAGCAGGGGGCCAGGACATCCGACATTCCCCAGAATATCAGACCCTGATGATTCTTTGAGCGGTGGTTTCTTTTGATCACAGCAGTAATCGCCGACGCAGGAAGTGGGTGTTCTTTCTGTGATGGGGCTCTTTATCGGTTTGTAGTCATTTTGTGACAAGGTCGCTTTAGTTGGCCCCACTTCCCTGAGAATTCCTGGTCCTGCTCCTGCCCCCGTCGGAGTAATGGTTGTTCCAACTCTTCTTTAGAATTCTCCATAATACAAATCCCGCAGGGAGAGTGGGAACCCTTAGTGATGGATGGGACATGTGTGCAATCTTTGGGACTCATCATAAGTTATCTGGTTTTTCAGATATTTCTCAGACTGATTTGCATTTTGAAAGCAGCCCAGAACCTCCAAGAAGTCAAAGATATTATATGCTCCCCACGCTACTTACCACCACCACTTTCCTTCTGATCTTCGCTCGGCCTGCAACGGTATCATACAAGGCCTGGTCTCCATCCATCCAGACAATATTTTTCATGCCATCGCTGGACTCTAAATCCAGTGTGTTCAGTTGCAGAACCATGAAGTGGAACAGCTGCCCATCTGTAGCCACGCTCTGTACCACAACCGGCTTCTCCAAATTCTTCACATCCTCCTGGAAAAATGGTAGAGCACAATATTAGGGTGGCTATGGCAGCCAGAACCTGCACATCATTGTTATGCTTAAAGTGTATGTAAACCCCAAGGCCCCTCTCACACGAGCTGATCAGGAGAGGATCTGTGCAATCTAGAAGAATCTTAAACTCACCGTGTCATTTCAGAGTAAGCACAATCCAAAAATCCAAAAATATCCAAAAATCCAAAAATATAACAATACACAAATGTCTGGCTTGAAGGAACCTTAGTATTTTGTTAAAGGGTAGATGATGGAGAGGAGACTGGGGCAGGAAAATACGGACTTAGCTGCAGAGGGATTACAGCAATATGGAACAGGCTTTCTAACCTACCCAGTAGACTTCTTCTCAAGAGGGGTCAGGAGATGGTTGTGCATAAGACTCATTCACATGAGATCATCAGCTGTTGTTTCCAGCTGTCATCTCATGTTTAAGACTGGATTTGCATTTTACACCCTAGGAAGCAGTAATGCTAAATCCGAGGTAGCAGAATGACCCTACTGACTTGCAGAGAGGTGGGTATCGATAACAATGGCTGTACAACATGACAAATAAGTAAAACCATCTAGTCCCACCATGTATTTAGCCAATTAGGATCTGCCCCCGACATTCATCTGTAGCAGAAAACAAAGCAGCAAGCAATATGCAGGTGCTGTAACTATTCAGAGACTAACCCAAAAAGGTCTACAAAGGGCTAGCAATCAAATCAAATACTTTTCAAAAAGATCATAGGATCAAAAAGATTATAGGATCAAAAAGATTATAGGATCAAAAAGATTATAGGATCAAATTGCAAAGTGGGATCCATACATACACATTAGTATGAAATATACCCCAAACCTGCTCCACTACGCTATAAAACACGAGTCGCCATCTGAAGCTATGAGCAAGGAACAGTGCTTCAAAAGGCCCAAAGGTAGGCATTCACTAGGGTAAGTGGACCAAGTCCCTGAAATGCTGTGCGTCTGCACCGCCACCAGTTCAGGGCGTTTGATCCCAACTTATGATTCATCCTTCACTGCCTGGTACTGTCCATTATATACTGGATGTCTCCCTATTGTTTGTGTACTACTGTTGATTGGTCATAGCTCCAGATAGCCACTTATGTATAGCATAGTGGAGCAGGTTTGGGGTACATTGCGCAATGATGTGTATGTACAAATTAGGGTTGCACAGATACTAAGTACAGTACTCGGTACAAGCACCGATACTTTTGAGCTCCAAGACTAGACTAGAGAAAAATTCAAAAAATTAGGAGGCCGCTGTCATTTGTAAGGAGCACACGGAGCTCCCGGGATTTGTACATCTCTGTTTTAATGAACGATTTTGTTTTTATAAATATAAATAAAGGGATGCACAGATACCAGTTTTGCCAGTACGAGTACTGGTACTTGCCGAGTACTTACACATTTTTGTTTATTGTCATGTGACAGTTTTTCTAAAACAATACAGACTAATGATTTCAGGACAGTGGTGGAGCGCCAGAGCCCGGTCCCAGCTGCAACCCTGGTAGTCCTCATGAAAATGGCAAGTATCGGCACTGGTACTCAAAAAGTATCTGTACATCCCTAATACAAATCCCACTTTGTAATTGGACCCTATATTATACCTTTTTGAAAAGTATTTGGTGTGCGGACATATCTGATTTGGTTGATAGTCCCATATAGACCTTTTGGGTTAGCCTCTGAATAGTTACTCATAGCAACTCATGTAAAGCATAGTGAAGCAGATTCGTGGCACAGTCCGTACTCTGTATATATTACACTTTGCCATTTCATACCATAATATGTCTTTTGGAAAATGATCTGGTCTGTGGACTTATTTGCGATTTGATAGATTTAGCCGTTTGCCTGGGGTTCCATTTGAGCTGGACGAGCCGATACCTTCCCGATTGTTAAAACTTGTGGCTACGCATTGGGAAATAACGCAGCAAAATCAGGAACTCACCCCGTACAGCGTCTTAGCTTTGGCCACCGCACTCCCAAAAGCAGTCATTATCATTCTGGCGCGGAGTTGGTCTGGCAGGAATCTTGCTCTGGTGCTGCAAGGATCCATAAGGTATATAGTATGAGGGTGTCTGAACGGGAAGCCATCTTTAAATCCTGCAGCAGAAGGATCAAAATAAACCAAAGACAATCAAAAGTGGAAAAAAAAAGGAAGAAAGAAGAATGATTACACCATTTCATTACTATAATGTTTGCAGTGCAATAGAAGAAAGATATTTTTTTTTTTAAAGGATGTATTATTTGTAGGGGTGCACCGATACCTCGTACCCGCCCAAAGGCTCCAACACTTACCCCCGATACTGGAACTTCTGGTCAGAGAAAGATTTCCTCTGACCGGCAGTCAGAGGGAACATGGAGCCAGCTTCCCGGCCAATCAGGAAGCAGGGCGGCGAGTAACGACTTGCCGCCTGGCTTCCTGATTGGCCGGGAAGCCGGCTCCATGCTGTTTGGCCGGGAAGCCGGCTTTCCAGCCAATAAGCATCGAGCAGGCCAAACAGCATGGAGCCGGCTTCCCGGGCAATTACCTAGCGCCCAGCTTCTTGATTGCCCACGAAGCCGGCTCCATGCTAGCGGACTTACCGGTATCGGCGAGCACCGAAATATAGGTATCGGTGCATACCTAATTATTTGTAGGCACTATTTGCAAATAAACTGTCCCCAGAACACAAACCCAGTGCAGCATCAGAGCATAAACCTTTTACTGTATGTGACAAACCAACTATTCTCTGGGAGACCTATATGACTGAAGCTAGCCACACATGGCTATGAGAGAAGTCACTGGATTCCCCCCTTCCATGTAAAACAGGAAAAATGCAATCTCCCGTTTGGCCAGCCAGTGCTTGCAGCTGACTAAAGACCCAAACAGTGACTGCATCTGATCGGATGCAGTCACTGTACGACCAACAATTTTCCACCTGGCTATTTGAATTTGTAATTGAAGTTTATTGAGCTGAGTGGTGCTGACGGGGCACCCAGAGTAATTGGATGAAATCCAAGTCACGTAGGGCTAGCATAGCACTCAGGTACATATGGGTGCACAGGTGGCACCGCCTCCTCACAATATCACAGCAGATACTCTATGTACTATGTAAGCTGTGCTGTCAATTGGCACGTCAAAGAAATGAGGGGTGCGCACACACACAAAATTCTTTCGAGGATCAGAACTTGATTTCAGACTGCTAGGTGAGGAGGGAAACGAATAGCTTTTAATGACGGGAACGTCTCATGATTTGGCTTGTTTTTTCCATTTGACTTTTGTTGGTTAAATTAGGCCGGAGATGGCACAACGCACACAAAATGGTGGCAACAGAGATCTGGGGAGGAGACGGACGTGTAGACACTGCTGGAGTCATAGTTAGAAAAGCAACCTTCAGCCAAAAAACTTTAAAAGGTCAATTTGCAATCATTGTTACATGAGCAAAAAAGCCACATGTAGTTGGTGCCGACACTGTCCTTCCTTCTGGAGGGCGGCTACTTGTGTTCCCCATGTTCCTTGTGTGTGTTGTAAAGTAGTCACCGCTCCAAGCTCGCTCCCGGGATGGACTACAATCTCAATACAAATTAGTAAACTAAGCGTGAGATTGTAGTCCATCCCGGGAGTGAGCTTGGAGTGGGGGCTACTTACACCGAAGCTTGGTGTCTTTTTACCCGACGTGACCCCGCCTTTTATATTTTACCAAAAAATTGGGTAATAATAAATGTTTTAGAATATAGGGGAAACTGTTTTTTTTTAAATTTTCTGTAATATTTCCTTAATATATTAAAAATAAAAAACCCCAGTGGTGAATAAATACCACCGAAAGAAAGCTCTATCTGTCCCCAAAAAAGGGTATAAAATTCATTTCAGTACAGCGCTGCATGACGGAATAAATGTCAGTCAAAGTACCGCAGCGCTGAACACTGAAAAATGGCCTGGATGGGAAGGGGGTGTAACACAGCGGTCTTCAAGTGATTAAAGAAGAATTATGAGGTGGTTTTCACTCCGCCTCATAGTTCTAGCCGACCTGTGACAATGAAACGGTCACACGCCGGCTCAATAAATCGGGAGGTGAGCGAACACATACCGTCGCTTGCTCACTTCTTGATCATGTCCCTTCAGAGTGACGTGACTGTCACTCACTGGGGGTGGGTACAGCTGGCTCTGCCTCTGGATAGGCAGAGCCAGCTGTCAATCACGCAGCTGGGTGGATCTCGACAGTAATGTCGGGATCCTTCCCGGCTGCGGCGTCTCAGTATACCGCGAGCTGTAGCTCGCCATATACTGAGCTTTGGGTAACGGGAGGACGCTAGTTTGTGTCCTCCCGTGACCCTTAGGAGAACTATGGGTAAAATCCCTGACCCCATAGTTCTCCTTTAGACTACTTGCAGAAATCTAAATTCTTGTTATTTTTACCTAGATGATTCTTTTCCTCATACACGTTCACCTGCTGAAGGTCAATGGCGGGGGACAGCGGGTACAGGGAGCCCAGTCCTTGCTGTTGGGTGACCTGGATGTCGCTGGGCGATGCCTGGGGTTCTAGAGCCGTTTTCGCACTCATCACTAAACCATTAATCCCTCGCACAAGATAAAGAACGGATTCTGCAGAACAAATACAAGTTAGAAATAGGAAATACAGGTTTGTACGACTCCACAAAGACAGGAAAATGCCTGGGCTGCCACTGCTGACCTCTCCCTATTACATTGCTAGCTGTCTGCTGTCATACCGATTCACTGCCTTCAATATTCGGAGTCAATGACTTGGAACAAATGGGCCAATCACGAGTTCTGACTGCAACTGCTCAATGCTGGCTTAGAGCCTGTGACTCAGAAAGCACTGAAGCCAGATACAGCTTGGTACCTACCACTGTCCGGAGGAAGTCAGCATGGGGAGTCGCCATATTTCTCTATGTAAAGGAAACATAGGTTTCCTTTACATAGTATTTGGGGTTAAATAAAGACACAGGTCCATCGAGTTCAACCTTTGTGTGTCTGTGTGTGTGTGTATATGAATCCCTGTGTGGTCTAGTATTTAAGAGTACCTGTACCCCTGTATGTTAAGGTCTCTGAGGACGGTATCCAATTGATTTTTGAATGATTCTATACTCTCTGCTGATACCACTGCTTGTGGCAGAAAGTTCCAAAATGTAACCCCTCTGACCGAGAAGAAGCCCCTACACCAGGGGTAGCCAAACTGCGGCCCTCCAGCTGTGATGAAACAAGTCCCATGAGGCATTGCAAGTCTCTGACAGCCACAGGTATGACCTACTGAGGCAGATGCATGATAGTATTTGTAGTTTCCCCACAGCTGGGGGGGCCGCAGTTTGGCTACCCCAGCCCTACGCCCTTTGTGGATAAATCTTTTCTCCACCAATTTCAGGTGGTGGCCTCTAGTCCTTGTTTATTACTGACATTTTCTTTAAAGGGGACTTCTCAGTAATCCTACATTTCTAACATACTGCAATTTACAGCTACAATAACGTTTTTCAAAAATGCTCCATCATGAAAAAGTGATCCTTAAAGGAGAACTATGAGGTGAGTGCTTTTCACTGATCCTCATAGTTCTAGCCGACCTGTGACAATGAGACTGTCACAGGTCGGCTCAGTAGATCGGGAGGTGAGCGAACACATACCGGCGTTCGCTCACTTCTTGATCCTGTCACAGCAGAGAGCCGTGACAGGGAAGGGGCTGGATCCCCCCCCCCACTCCGATCTGCCAGCGCTGACTGCCGGAATGGACGGGAGCGGGTACAGCTGTCTTTGCCTCTAGATAGGCAGAGCCAGCTGTCACTCACGCAGCTGGGCGGATCTAGACATAATTGTCGGGATCCGCTTCAGCTGCGGCGTCTCAGTATACCGCAGCTACAGCTCGCGGTATACTGAGCTTAGGGTGAAGGGAGGACGCTAGTTTGTGTCCTCCCGTTACCCTAAGGAGCCCTAACCCCATAGTTCTCCTTTAAGCCCCAGCAAAGCAGCTGTCCCCAGCCTGAGAGGCAGAATCCACTACAATGATGTAATCATGGAAGTGGCCAATAGGAATGCATGGGAAGTGTGGAGAAAACTCCATGAAGCCAAGGAGGTGGCAGAGCTTTGCTGGCTCAGGAAGCAATGAACATTCCAGGGACAGAAGGTCTGACAGGTATACTGCGTCTGTGATGGAGAGATTTCACTGCACTTCCTGCCCAGGTGACACACACACAGTCCTTGTACGGGACTTACCTCTTCTCCAGGACGCTGCCAATTGATAATTTTCTATGAAGCTCCTCTGGGAGAGCTCGGGATAGGAGCAGCTCTGCATGCGGCACATGTGAAGGAGACCTTGCAGGAGCTTAGGACTGAAAGATCAGAGAAGAACGATTATAAACATTTATTCTCCCGGCAGACCGCGAAGTCCCCACATAACACGATTACCTGTATTGGACAGAGAAGGAGCAGCAGCAGACTGAGGACCGCACCGGGAATTATAAGCACTGTCTGATCTGCACTTTTTCCAGGCCAGTGACTGGGAAAGTTTTGAAGCAACTGGATCAATATAACAGCCGAGCAACTAGCATTTCCAGCAGGGGAGCTCAATGGTGGCAATCTGAGTCTTGCCCTCAGTGAAGGTATCTATGCAGGTAACTAGATTATTCTGGAAACATGATCTCCTGGGCAGTGTGCACATATAGGTCCGGTGTTCCCAACCCCACCCCTTCTAATTCAATTCACAGAGAATGTACAAACTTCAGCCCACCAGATGTGGTGCAACTACAAATCCCAACATAACTCTGTCTCTGGGAGTCATGCAATGCCTCATGGGACTTGTAGTTTCATCACAGCTGGAGGGCAAAGGTTTGGCTTCCCCTGCTGTGCAAGAAGAAATCACGTGACCAGAGGCTGTAGTCTCTATAAAGAGACCTCACTTGGTTCCCCGAGATCCGACACTCACCAGTATTCCTCCCTCGGTCTCTGGTCCTCGGTGGTGCTCCATAGACAGGCGTTGGCAACTGTATTGTGTACCAGCTCCTCATGGTTGGGGAATGTGTGTGCCGGATCTTCATATATACTCCGTATACTCTGTGGTAGCCCCTCAATCAAACTGGATTTGGTCAGCCAAAGCGCCTGCTTCACCCCTAAACAGAGAGAGTCCAATGTTAGCCCCGGGTCACCCAGCGCCCCGCTCCACCCTCAGGTCAGCCTGAACCCGGCTCACATCGCCCTGAACTCCGCTCCACCTCCCGCCTCAGGTCACCCTGCGCCCCGCTCCACCTTCAGGTCACACTGCACCTGGCTTGGGTCACCCTGCGCACCGCTCCACCCTCAGGTCACACTGCACCCAACTCCACCCTCAAGTTATCCTGCACCCGGCTCCACCCTCAGGTCAGCCTGAACCTGGCTCGGGTCACCTTGCGCCCCGCTCCACCCTCAGGTCACACTGCACCTGGCTTGGGTCACCCTGCGCCCCGCTCCAACCTCAGGTCACACTGCACCCAGCTCCACCCTCAAGTAATCCTGCACCCGGCTCAGGTCACCCTTCACCCCGCTCCACCCCGCAACCCACTCCTCCCCTGGGTCACCCTGCAACCCGCTCCACCCTGCAACCCGCTCCGCTCCACCCTGGAGTCAGCCAGGTCCTTATATTGTCACTTTATCCATCCCACTCTGGGGTCACCTTGCACCCTCCCCCGGGTCCCGTACCTCCCAGCAGGCGGCATTTGGGGTTGAAGACGTAGGCCTCGTCCTCCTTGTAGAGCGGCATGTCCTGGGGGGCCGGGGACCGGTAGTAGTGCGGGTTGTTCCAGTCCGGCCTCCATCGCGGGAAGCTGGGCCGGGCCAGCCAAGGTAAGAAGTATCCGCGGTCGGCGAATGTGATTCGTTCCAGGCCCGGGATTTCCGGGGGGTCCTGCCTCACTCGGGGCTGTACCGTCTGCTTTTTACTACACCGGGCGGACACACTGATACAGCGGAGCCCCGGGCCCCGGACACACACACCGGACACCGGCTGTGCCAGTACGGAGGCCGCCATCTTGGCGCGCTGAGGATGATGGGTAATCGCCTGTCAACTTCAAGGGGAGAAGGCGGACCATGAGGAGTGTGTAATGTCAATGGAGACCGAGCACCATGTATGTCTGCACACAGATCATCATTGTTCACTACAGTCCTCCCTCCTCCAAAACAAACTGTCCCAGGACTACAGCCCTCCCTCCTCCAAAACTGTCCCTGGACTACAGTCCTCCCTCCTCCAAACCTGTCCCTATCTCTGGACCACAGTCCTCCGTCCTCCAAAACTGCCCCTATCCCTGGACTACAGTCCTTCCTCCAAAATTGTCCCTGAACTATAGTCCTCGTTCCTCCAAAACTGTCCGTATCCCTGAACTACAGTCCTCCTTACTTCAAAACACTTCTTACCTGGACTACAGTCCTTCCTCTAAACCCGTCCCTATCCTTGGACTACAGTCCTCCATACCTCCAAAACCATCCCTTTTCTAGACTACAGTCTCCTGTACCTCCTTCCTCCACAAGGGTCCCTTTTCTGGACTACAGTCCTCTGTCCTCCCTACCTGGCAAACTGTCCCCCTGCACTACAGTCCTCTGCCTGATCTGGCTCTGAAACCCTCCCTTTCCTGGACCACATCCCTTTTACCCTCTTTGCTCCAAATCTGTCCCTTTCCTGAAGTCAGATCCTCTGTCCCTGTCCTCTGCATCCTGTCCTGGACCACATCCCTCATTAATGATGGCGGCCATGTTGTATATGATACTTTGTCCTCTGCATCCTCTCCAGTCCTGGACCACATCCCTCATTAATGATGGCGGCCATGTTGTATATGATACTTTGTCCTCTGCATCCTCTCCAGTCCTGGACCACATCCCTCATTAATGATGGCGGCCATGTTGTATATGATACTCTGTCCTCTGCATCCTCTCCTGTCCTGGAGGACATCCCTCATTAATGATGGCGGCCATGTTGTATAAGATACTCTGTCCTCTGCATCCTCTCCTGGAGGACATCCCTCATTAATAATGGCGGCCATGTTGTATACGATATTCTGTCCTCTGCAGGTGATGTGTGACTCGGGTGACACTGATTGGCTGTCGCTGAGGCCCGTGGAGCCGTGTCCTGATCAGTGCTGTGGCGGTGGCTGCTCCCCCTGTGTTTATGATCTCTATCAAGCTGAGCTGGAATTGTGGGAAAAGGCCAAAGAGCGCGGAGACCCCCAACTGCTGAGGAGAGCCAACACAGAGGTAACGATATGGTGTCTGCATACCCGTCATGTGATCAATACCTATATCCAGCTTTCATCTACAGACGTATAGAAATTGAATTGAACCATTAGGGATAGGCACCACACCCCCGATTTGAAATGTATACAAGAAAGATAAAGAAAAGCGGGGCTTTAAAAGTGTCCAGACCATACGAAATGTCCATCAAACATACATGGTTTTGTATAAAAATATACTTTATTACATAGAGACAACTTAAAAACTTGGCTACATTTAAAATGTCATTAACATGATACAATGCTACATTAAAAAACAAGCTACCTCCTTTTGGTGCCCATACAGGTGTACATATATTTATTTATATATCATAGAATCCACTGTGGGCCCAATCTCCGACGCGTTTCGCAGCTGTATGTGCTTCCTCAGGGAGATTGGAGGTTTCATCTACAGACACAGAACCTTTCCTTATAGCCCATGGAACAAATTTCAGGCAGCCAATCAGATTCCTTCTTGTCTTCCTCCCGTACAAAAGACATCGAAGGGAATTGATCAAAATCTGGAGCAGCTGTGCACGGCAACCAATCAGCTTCTCTCTTTCATTTTTAAATCTTAACTGAACAAACTGAAGAGAGAAGCTGATTGGTTGCCGTAGACAACTGTTCCAGTTTTTAAAAAAACCCTCCACCGTGTGATACCTTTTGGGCAGTTTCCTCAGGAGGTCTATTAGGGGGACTCTCATAACACTAGAACAAGATTAAAAAACATTTTATTTCCTTTATAAAAATGTGCAGTTTTTATAATTATTGTGCAACTGAAGCCAAACTTTTTTTTAGTTTTGGATGGAGTGGAGAGCTTAGATTTCCATTCAGGTTCTTATTGCTGCCTGGGAGATTCACGCTTTCTTCTGGTGAATGTTATTACTGAAAGTGAAAGAAAATCCCAAATTTTGGGTGGTCACCAGAACTAAGATAGATGGGAATAGTAGTCCTTGGTGACCCTGCTCTAGGTCTCTGAACTCCTGCTTAAGGACACTCCAATTTCCTCCTATTTTGTCATTGGTGCCGATGTGCACCATGACAACGGGGTCGTGCCCAACCCCATCTAGTAATCTGTCAATTCGTTCTGCAATATGTTCCCCATGTGAGTTTTTACATATGTTCCCCATGTGAGTTTTACCCGTGCCTATCCCGATACCAGAACTTCCCTCATCACCAGGGAGAATGGAGCTGCCTTGACGGCCAATCAGGAAGCCAGGCGCTATGTAATGACTGGCCGCCCAGCTTCCTGATTGGTCGGGAGCTGGCCAATCAGGAAGCTGGATGGCGAGTCATTACCTGCCCCCTGGCTTCTTGATTGGCCAGAAAGCCAGCTCAATGCTTTCTCAACACCTGGTGGCGTGGTAGCATGGAGATGGCTTCCCGGCCAATTAGGTAGCTGGGCGCCGTGTAATGATTTGCCACCCGGGTTCCTGATTGGTCAGGAAGCTGGCAAATCAGGAATCCTGGTGGCAACTTATTACCCATCCCTCTGGCTTCCTGATTGGCTGGAAAGCCAGCTCCATGCTTCCTCGTCACCTGGTGACACGGGAGCATGGAGACGGCTTCTCGGCTAATTAGGAAGCCGGGCGGGGAGTGATTACACGCCGCCCGGCTTCCTTAATAGGACTTCCGGTATCGGTATTCGGTATCGGCGAGTACTCCATACTGAAAAAACTATATCTGTGCATCTCTAATAATAATACATACTTTCTTGTGGCATAATAGTAATCATTATTATTATTCCACAAAAATGTAAAACATATTCTGTTTCCTTTCCAGAGGCTGCAGACAATAACAACAATAATAATAATACATTTGGTAATAACTCATGAAGCCTAATTGTTATTGAACATATACAGTATATTATTCAAACAATGTCAAACAACCATTCCTGGTTTAAGGCAGAATATATTTAGCAGGTTCAGATGCTGAAGTAAGATCGGTCAAATATGACACTTTTTACAATCAGATTAGCCAGAAAAACAGAGTTAATAATAGTTATCATTGCCAATCATGTATGTAACCGGTGGCACAGAGCAAAGGTTGAGCAACTCCTTTATGGGGGACCATGGGGGAGAGATCCTGAGACAGCTCAGTTCTAATGAACAAGTAATCTGCATCATTGTGTGGAGTCCCTGGGTATCTCTGCTCATGTAAGAGGTGCGTATTGATTCTGCATATTACACTCAGGTATAACATCAGCTCACATGACGCCTCCTGCCGTTATCCCCACATCACCATTCACTTTTCTCATATCTTCCCACATTACATAGCAGCCACAGAACCCCAGCGTGCTGCTGAGCTCGGAGGATTTCAGAGAGTTCACAATCTTCTCGGTGGAACAAGAAACAGAGGACACCAGTCGGTACCGATTCCAGCTTCCTCCTGGAGCCAGTTTGGAACTGAATTTGGGTCAACACCTCGTAGTAAGGTAGGCTGTGATCTGCATAATACTGCACTGATAGAAATAAGATTAGTCGGTAAACAACAGTTTCCAGATTTGAGGGCTTCCCATGAGACGTTTATTGATGGACACTGATAAGCGGAGCGGTGTTCCCTCATTTGTGCATTCGGCATAATTATGTAATTAGTTGTAATTCCATTGAGATTTCAAGAATAACTTCATTATGAGGGCAGACTCAATCAATACTCTAATGTTTTTAGATTGCAAGCTCTCATGAGCAGTTCCCCCCTAACCCTCATGTCTTGCATTGTATTGAACCAGCACCGTCTCTCTTTATTTTGTAAAGCACTGCTCAAACTGCTGGTGTTATATCACAAATAGAACATCCTTCTATCTGAAAACTGAAGGAGCCGGGTGGAAAATTGTCGTGACAGCCAATCAGCTGCAGTCATTATTCAGATATTCTGACAATGGCACACCTGCTGCTGTCAGAATACAATGGCCCGGTGGGGATTTTCCCCCTATCCACATTACTTAGCATAGAGTGAGGAATCTGTTAGATTTTTGCATTCAGACCGCAGTCAGCTTTAGGACCTGTTCACACCACAAACAGTGCGGTCAGCCTCTGGAACGCACTGTATTGCAACCCGGCTGGCTCCCTGCGGGAGGGGGCGTGACGGTGCATTGAAGTCAATGGCACCACAGTCACGCCTACAGCCCCTAGTGCGATCGTCCGCACCCAAACGCGTGGCACATCAGTGCCTGCATTCCGATCCAGTGTGATTTGCAAAAATAGCGGTTGCAGCATTTTGGCAGATCGCACTGGACCGGAACTGCGAGGGGGAGCTGGGGCCAAGAGGGGGCATGGCTGCGGTGCCATTGACTTCAATGCACTGCCACGCCCCCTCCCACCCCTGAATGCAGGGAGCCGGCCGGGTTGTGATACAGTGCGTTCCAGAGGCTGACCGCTCTGTAATATACTGTATGGTGTGAGCCGGCCCAAGGGGTTACATTTCACTTTAGGTCCACTCACATCTATTATTTTTTTCAGGGGAAGAGTGAACGGATTGGATATACAAAGGGCGTACACTCCCATCAGCTCCATAAATGCAAAAGGCTACTTTGATGTTTTGATCAAGGTAATTATCATATCCTATAAAAGAGATTTCATCATTTAGATAAAAGCAACTTATTCCGCAGCACTGTACACACAAAACCATTGACACTTGTCTCTGCCCCTAAACCAGCTCACAGTGTAATGTACATAGCAGAATTATACAGACAGACACTGCCAGTTGAAGTGTGTATATATATATGTGTATATATATATATATATATATATAGCAAAAATCTATTTTTTTAGTTTTAGAGTAGGGAAAGGTTTAAAGAAGAACTCCAGGTAAAGAAAAAACATACCTTTGCAGTGGGGCTATTCCTGCATGGCAAGGGTAAGTGATTGTTTTGTATAGGGGGCTCAGATAAAGCAGATATACTCTCCTGATCCTCGGTCCTGCGGCAGTCACTGTGACAGGAAATGAGAACAAGTTTGTCTATGTGGGACACAATAGTACTATTGATATTTCTATACAGAAGAATTGCGGTAGGCTCGAAGCTCCATCAGTTTTTTATGTCTCTCTGTATTCCGCTAATGCTGGCATTTGATTGTGTAATTACCTTAATTGCACAGTCCCCCTATAGACCCCATATGCTGCATTAAACTGTATACATTATGTAAATGCAGACACACAATAGTCATGTAATTGAAGAAACAGAAATGTCTGTAACACCAGCTCCCAGCTCTCTTACTAACTGAAAGAATGGCAGAGATGAGGGCAGGCCGTGTCTCCTGATACCCGGTGTCCCCTTACACCAGAGGCTATTCTTCATTGCCTTTAAATGATATTGTATAAAACATTTACTGCACTTCCCGCTTTTAAAGTCATAACTGCTGTCCCACACAGAGCAGGTTACATAGTATTTGAGGTTGAATAAAGACATTAGTCCATCAAGTCCAACCTATTAGGATCTCATTCTAGGAGTACCCGTACCCCTGTATATTACGGTCCCTTAAGAAATCGTCCAAAAGTTTCTTGAACAATTCCACATTATTTGCTGAAATCACCGCCTGTGGCAGTGAGTTTCTTTCCTGAACCCATGCTGATTGTCATTAACTATCCCGTTTTCCTGAACAAATTCTACCAGATAATCCTTTATTATGCCCTCTAGCATTTTACAAACTACCGATGTTAGACTGACCGGCCTATAGTTCCCAGGTTGTTGGCTCCACATTTCCAGCATTGTTTAGCTTCTAGAGAGAAAAGAAAGTGTTTTTGTCAGTTTTATCCTCATCTTTTGAAGGTCACTTATTTATAAATGGATCATTTATATCATTTTAGTCTTTGTTTTACAGTAAAAAAATGGGCTGAAAATCTCGGCTTATACTCGAGTATATACGGTAATACAAAGTGCTCCGCATACAAAGCATGATAGTTCTAATAGTTAAAGGGTTATTAAACCCTCAGCGTGTTTTTGCATATATCTACTGCTAGCGAGCAGTAGATATATGCAAAAAGTTTTTTTAAAAACCTTTTTTAAAACAGGTTTAAACTTACCTGTGTCTTCGCTGCGTGCTCCCGTCCGAACATCTGAAGAGTCTCGGGCGGCCGCAAAGAATATTGGGGTGGGCGCATTCTCAGTTCAGATGTTTGGCTGGGAGACGAGGAGAGACACACGGTAAGTCTATGGAGCAGCGTGCACCCGCACAGACACCGTGGGACATCAGAGGAGAGGAGGACAGAGGAGTCAGCGCTGGATTGGAGACCCGCACCAGCGCTGGAGGGACAGCTAAAAACTACACTAAAGAAGAAGAAAATCGCATTAGGGGGCATGATTTATGGTAAGTCCTTACACTAACATGGAGGGGGAGGGGAAAAAAATCTCTAATGTCGCTTTAAGCTTAAACTCAGTCTTATAAACCTATATGATGGTAATTCTTATAAGAAAGCCCAATACAGGCTGCATATTTGCTGTCTTGCCTGTGTTTAGCTAACTTAGCCATACAGTCCCATTTCTTGCTAGGAGAGAGGAGGGGCGTTTCCTTCCTCTGAATCATTCTACAGTCTATGTAGTCTGATCTCTCCTGCTTTCAATATATACTTTCAGATTTGCAGCCAAACTGGGATAACACCTACTTTAATATTTGTTATATGTTACCATTCACATCGCATAACTTAAAAAAAATGTAAACTGTGCTGCTTACCTTTTACTTGCTCTTTTCTGAAAATGCCTGTTATGTGATGTTAAGGAGGGGCTGGGGACGTTATGTTTACCATAATTAACCCCGTCTCTACTGTGCTGGCAGATCTCATTATTGGTGGTAAACTGGATTTTAACACACTGTCCTAAGAAAGGGTTAAAGATCTCAGAGCTTGTGTTGTGCACTGTATGCTAATAAGGGGAAACGCAGTTTGTTCCCAGTTTGTCCCTCCAGTTTCATCTTTAAATTGCTCAGAATAGCTTGCAGTCTGTCTCAAGGCCGGCTCTAAAGAAACAAATAGAATGGTAAGAAATATGTTTTTCAATTATTTTATAGGTATGCTGTGTGAATGGGAACATGTAACAAACATATAAAAGGGTTTTCTTACATTTGAAACAGCGATCAACTCCAAACCTCATGTAATCATATCACAAACAATTACACGCAGACAGATGCAGCCGCTGTCACCCGATTATTAAATTGAATGGGTGACAGCGGCCCCATCTAAAAGGGAGATTTTGGATTCCTGCCGCAGGCATCCCAAATTACATAGTGTGAATGTACCCATAATAATATATCCTAAAAATAACTTTTCTTTATAGATGAGTCTCTTGGGAAGGTGTTGTTATTTGAGTGACATTGTTCCAGAAGCTTTGGCAGTTTGCAGAGCTTATGGTACATTTTACCCTCAGAAAAGTCTCAATCACTTACCTCTCTCTGATGACTCAGTGGAGGATGCTTTAAACTGCTGCACTCGGGAGGACAAATGTAATCCATGGCCCTAGACATTGCCAACAAAGATCTTTAGCACTGGCCTCTGCAGAAGGATGAGTCGAGGAGTTTTAGCTCAGTCTTACATTGTACAGGCATTCTAAGATACTGTACTCTGGGCTCTGAGAATGTTTCTTTTATTTCTTTTATGCAATTTGTAGTTGTTATTAAAGAACAAATGAAAAGACAATGCACAACAAACATGCACAGGAACTCACAAATATAAAGAGCAATCGAAAAACATAGAAGGTGGCATCAATGCAAAATCAAGCACGGTCCAGCCAAGACAGCATACATGTATCATGGAGTATCATAGTGACACAACATTTTGACACCTAGGCATAGGGAGCAATAATTTTCAACTTTACATCTTACCCCATGCAGGCCCACCTACCTGCAGTAGAAGGAACATAGAAGCAGGGAATAGTGGAGAAGAAGTGAAAAGCCAAAGTGCAAATGGGATAGCTATAGAAGAAACAGGGGAGCTGCAGATAAAAAAAGAGAGAGGTGCCAAAGAACAAGGTAAGGAGAAAAGGCCATGGTTAGAGCAACAGGGCCTATCACCCACTCTCCAACACAAAGGCTCAGTAATAAACAATCGGGAGGGGCACTGAGATTTTACACGAAGGCTTGACTTGACTGTCTACGGACACCATTCCCACATCTGTGTTATAGAATTATGAGTTCTAAGTATTCATGTTCATACCTATGCAGAGAGGTCAAGGAGGGAGATTTGTCAAGACCCTGCCAGCTTTTCTGACTGTATTTCCCGGGAAGTATTAGGAATTGGCCCACTTTTCGAACCTAACGAAACAATCTTTGCACAAGAGCAGTAGCCCAGAAGCATCTGCTGGATCCATGGATGTGACATGGTCACCCAGTCTAGTTGTATTCAGCTGTCATCTCAAGTCAATGGCCAACTTTGGACTTTAACCTATTCATAACACACTGATGGAGGCTTCGGTTTGTTTTCTGTATGGATTATAATATTTTAGCAAAGCTACCTAAATGATCAGGCTATAAATATATGTAACAAAGACATTTGATCTTTCAGATCCCTTTAGTAAAATGTGTGTTTGTTATTATAGATCTATGAACATGGTCTGATGTCACAGTATATAAGATCCTGGAGAGAAAGAGACTCTGTGTCGTGGAGGGGGCCATTTGGAGGCTTCCCATACAAAGCCAACAAGGTGAGGTTCAAGACCTCTCATGTACAAGGGCTTCTTTCTTTATGTACAACTTTATAACCTGGTTGTTGAGTATATTAGCCAATGAGGTGTTATTATTCCTTTTTTAATTTGAAAATTGAATTGGAATTTGTGAAGCAGTTACTTTATCGAAATTCAGATCTCAACAAAATAATGTTTACAGACTATAGGGTACTGTGAGCGGCTGGGTGTAATCCCGCACTATTTAGGATACAGACCAGCAATTATTTTATTAACCTAATGGATTTTTCAGAAGACTAATGGAATGTTTGGCTAGCTGCATGTATTTAAATGTATATTACAGAAAGCCAATATATGGGCTTTTATAGCACTCTGCCAAAGGACCATGGTGGGAATCTCTCCATGTATTTGTGTGACTTTCCTTTAAGAACATCTGTTTCTTTCCTCAATACAAAACATAATGATCAATAAACTGACTTGCAGGATCTTTGGGGTGAGAACTGGTGCTTATAGATGTATGTTCTCTAGCATGCTTTGCATAATACGTGTGATGCTATATAGATAGAGAACGCTAATGATAGTTTGCTGTAGTTTCCCATCTTGTATCTGCACTAACATGGTGACAGAACATCATTTCAAAGCAGATTTCCGATATGTGGAGAAAAACATACTTAGAATGTCAACTGAGAAAAAAAACATTGCAGCAAATAATCATATTTCTCTCTTATGAAGTGTCTCTGTGCCCCTTTGTGTAAGTTTACATGTTCAAATAGCAGCTTTCAGAAAAGCGCTTGCTACCTGACTGGAGACTGTCTTTGTATCTGAGTTCCATGGAGACATCTCTATCCCTGCCTTGTCTAGACATAAGAGTCATCAGTAAGGGCTCATTTACATGGGTGTGATGCCTGTGCAAAGACCCGATCACGGAAGGGACAGACGCTGTGTATAATTGCATGCAGCAGCCTGTACCACCCTACGGGAGGATGCAGCTGCATGCAGTTACACGTGATTACAAGCAGAACCGACCCTGCACATCTGTGCGGTTCCTGGTGCCCGCACTTGGACGCAGACAGTGTGCATCTAAGTGCGGACACCTGGACCTGCATGTATGTGTAGGTTCTGGTCTGCGTGTAGCCACATCCTCCCATAGGATGTCCCTCCCGGGATCGGGTCTTTGCACAGGCGTGCACGCTGTATGTATGTGCACGTCCGTGCGAATGAGCCCTAAGGGAAACAATTGGTTTGTGACTCTCAAGCTTTGCACTGCCTTGTGTGTGAATGCAAAGTGGAAGGTAATCAGGACAGACAGTGAAATATCCTTCTTCTTTACATTTTTATATTTAGAGGTGTAATAATAAATTTTTGGCCCCATAGACTTCAAAGGGAGTGGCTGAAAGATGCATGTAATGCACATTTTTTGTTCGATTGTGTGCCTAACAATTATCTTCATCATCAGGGTATTAGCGTTCCATTGGCTAAACAAAAACATTGAAGCCTGAAAATCATTCAAAAACACGCAAAAAAAGCCTGAAATTACTAATGCTCATGTAAATGTTTCATCGTGCGGTATTTTCATCAGTCCTTTCCCTTACATCCTGTGGGCCTTGATGGATGATGGGATATGTAGTTATACTGTCAAATACAGAGCCACCAGATTGATAACCATTTTCTCCCACTGCACCATCCATTTCCTCAGCAGCTGAGGGAGATACAGATGTATGCGATATCTTCAGATCAGACACAGAACAGAAATAGAGTGCTATATCCTTACAATATATTAGTAGAGATGATTATTATTATTGAGAATTTCCCTTTTTGTTTCTATTTTATACGTCTAGTTTGGTGAGCTGCTTATGCTGTGTTCAGGAACCGGGCTGGCCCCAATGATACCAATCCTGACTTCTGTGACTGACAATGAAGACGACGAGACCTTCATCACACTAGTTTTTTGTTGCAGGACTTTTAAATGCATCCACATGAAGAGTTTTCTGCAGGAGCAAGCACGTTTCTGGAACGTCAGACTATTTTATGTCTTTAGTCAGGTCAGTGTTCTTGGTTCTGATTTAGATCATAGGTTGCCTGGGCTCACATCTGGTTCTTTGAAGTGATCCTATACTCAGATTATAATGCTGCATTGCTCTGCCAGTCTAAGGCTGGCCATACACTGTTAGAGTTTTGGGAGATTCGCAGTAATTGGATAAATTCTTACAGTGGGTGACACTCAGTTTGAGAAAAGTCGATTACTGAATTTACTTTTGTCAAGGAGCCGGATCAAAACTTTTCAGCCAGTCAGTTGCAGTCACTGCTCAAGCGCTGGCTGTCAGAATACAATAGCTGCAGCGGGAGAAGCAGAACCTGTCACCTTGTGACGAGGGAGCATGGAGCCGGCTTCCAGGCCAATCAGGAAGCCGGGCAACGCGTCACTACACCGCGCCCATCTGCCTGATTGGCCAGAAAGCCAGCTCCATGCTTTCTTGTCACCTGGTGACGAGGGAGCATGGAGCCGGCTTCCAGGCCAATCAGGAAGCCGGGCAACGCGTCACTACACCGCGCCCATCTGCCTGATTGGCCAGAAAGCCAGCTCCATGCTTTCTTGTCACCTGGTGACGAGGGAGCATGGAGACAGGTTCCCTGCTAATCGGGAAGCCTGGTGACAAGTCTTTACACGCCGCCCGGCTTCCCGGCTAATCAGGAAGCCAAGTGGCGAGTCATTACACTCCGCATGGCTTCCTTAATGGGATTTCCGGTATCGGTGCATCACTACTTTACATATAAAGACCCCTGAACTATATATGTTATAATGAACATAGCTTTGACATGTACTGATATGTGATGGGACACAGGCTCATTAGAATGTTGTATTTGGTGCTCCATTGTTAATTCATTTGAGTGATTCTAAGTTTGTTTTTGTAGGAAGGATCATTACAGAACCTACCCATGAGCTACAAGGAGAACTCCAAGATCGGAAGGATCAACTCTACCTTTTTGGAGATGGTGTTGGACACATGCAGAAGAAAACCCTACGCACTGATCTGTGGCTCAGCCTCATTCACAGAGGACATGGTACACATGGTGAATGAGCTGGGGCACAACAATGACTCTATCTTTTCTTTCTAAACCATTTACAGACGAAAGGCAACCTGTCATGGAGAGATGTGTAGAAGCACAGATTGAGCACCACACCTATTGTTCTAGAGTCCAGAAATATAAATGTATTAGTCCTTAATCAGGATGTTGCAAGATGATACAACCAACAAGTTTCGGGGTTGCAAAGTTCCTCTTTCATCAGGGCTTTGGAAGCTGTGTAGGACTGGGGGCAGGAATCTTAAAAAAAGTGATACAGGAATTGATTAGCCTGTGTGGCTGCTACAGTACTTCCATTCCACACAGGCTAATAAGTTCCTGAACCCCTTTTTTAAGAGTCCTGCCCTCAGTCCTATACAGCTTTAAAAGCCTTGACGAAGGGGATGTTACAACCACTTAAACATGTTGGATGTATCATTTTGTATCATCCCAATTTAAGAGTAGCAAATCCTAGACTGTGTAACAATTGGCGTGGCGCTCGCTTTGTGTTTCTACATATCTGGCCTTCTCGTAGACACACACCGCCCCCCCCCCCCCTCTAGTGTTTGTTAGCTGCCTGAGCCAGAGCTTTCTGCTCACAATGGGCAATCTATGATCCCCACCCCTCGAATGAGAGAAATATGGAGACTGACTATTGTCCTCTAAGACAGAATTCCACATGGCTGTCTCATCGCTTCAGGAAGTGGATAATAATTTATCAAACCATATATGTGAATTGACTGAGACTTTATTTCTACTGATTGATTTAGAAAGTACACGTATTGACTCCTACCCAGGTATAGCTACCACACATGTTACAAAAGATCTTTAGATCTAGCAACACCTGTGTAGTGCAAGAGCCTGCGTGATTGGATATCAATTGATTGCATAGATCAGGTAGGTCGTCCTATTACATAGTTTTGGTAGATCTAAAGTTGATTGTAGAGATTGTATGGTCAGATTGTATTGAGTATGGTGAGCCTTAGGGCTTTTTCACTCCGAAAGCGGTGCGTTCCAGAGCGGCAGGTGCTGGAACGCCCCGCGATCGCCAATGAAACTTCCCCCATGTTCTGAGGCGGGTGGGGGCGTGGTGGTGCATTGAATTCAATGGCACCACTTCCACGCCCCCATCCCCCCCGCCCGCAGTGCGATTGGACGCGTGGTAAAACTTTGGCTGCGTTCATTCCACTGCAAATGCAAAAAATATGGCTTGCTCTGGAACGCACCGCTTTCGATGTGAACAAGGCCTAAGTTGGTGCATTTTTGTTAACTGTGCCAGTATTCATTGACTCATAGAGTCAATAGAGAGAAATATGGAGGATGCCAATGCTGATCTCTCCCTGGGGCGTCCCGAGGCTGGGTGACACCCGGAGCGGTAACCGAGTGTCACCCCGCCGAGACGTCATCGCGCACGCGCGGCAGTATTCTGATACCTGCCAGCGGCCATCTTGGTGATGGATGCCGGCAGAGAGCGGAGGGGACAGTCACCCAGCGGGATAAAGTATGCCGCCGGGTCCCCTCCTCTCTCCATGACCGAGCGCCCGTTTTTTCAGAGGGGGGTGACACCAAAATTACCTTGTGACGCCATTGATCTCTCCTTAAAGAATTCGAGTTGCCTGGCTGTAATGCTCCTCCTTTTTATTAATCACATTGAGTTATTGACATTCCTGAGCTTCATACGTATTCCAGGTCAGTGACCCAGAAAATACTGAAGCTGCAGGATCAGCAAAGCATCCAGGCAACTCACATTTTAAAAAGGCCAACAGTGTCTTCCTCCATATTTATCTCACGATAGGTTTACTTTAAAGGTGATGCAAAGGTACAAGCGGAGACTGGAGTCTACATATACTACCTGTCTGGGTTATCCATGGATGGTATTTTGGAGCGTGCATAACATTATTTATTGGAAATGAAACAGGAATATTTTGGTTAACATAAAATTTGGGTTCTCCTCTATTCTGTTCAATACTTATTAGGCTGCTCCATATTATGGGCAGGGGTTCTTCACTGTTACCAAGTGTAAAGAGTCTCTATGTACATGTTGCTCGGTTATACAAGTAAAATGGGATTGCGTTTCTGTACATAATAATCTTATCAATGTTTGTCAATATTTTCATAACCTTGTTTCTGTGTACAGTCTATAAGCATATATGTACATGGCATAAGCCATTCATCATCACTGTATTCTGCCAATTGGAGGAGGTCAGGGACAACACATTGCCTTTGCTGCACTGAAATCTTAACCAGGGTTGTCAGCCCTGACTGCTGGATTACAGAACTCCGCCTATCCCTACTATGTTCTGTCCCTGTCCACATATATGCACTGATTTCTTTCACCGCATAACACTGCTGCTGCTTTGACTCTCAAACCTGCTCATACACTGTGTGTAGGGAAAGGGCTTTTGGGAAATGTAGTTCTGGTTGGGTGCTTACTGCAGCAGCTGCTCCTGTAACAATTTTACAAGCTTGGTGATGGTAATGCAGAGAGAGAAAGAAGCTGTATGTTGCTGCGGGAACAAGGTAAAAGGAAACAAAAAAAAAAGCAATGCTGGGGCATAGTCTGTGGAGGGGAGTGGTTTAGGGGTACATTTAGGTAATGCCTGAGCATACAATTTAAAGAGGAACCTTAAAGGTTTTTTTTTTTACTTTTCAAAGTATTTTATTGGTTTTTAAATTTTTTTACAAAGAAATAAAAAGATGTAACATTGATACATAAGCGTTTACATAGACATATGCATACATTAAAGTCTTATGAATGTACATTCAAAAGTGTAATAAAACTGAACTAACAGTCCTGGGACAGCCCTTATGGGAACCGATCAGTCAAAATGGTAATGTATACACATAACAACTCTGGGTGACTCTCCGTAGAACTCAATGAAACAAGAAGATCCAACGGATCTTAAGGTGGGTCTGGGGGAACTGAGCTAAGAGGGGGAGACAGTGGGTAGGAAAGAGCGAGGGAGGGGGAGAGGGAGAGTGCTTCCTACAAGCTTCCGTGATGAGGTCTAAGATTGATGTAGGTATAGTTGGGTAACTTTGGGACAGCCTATCATTAAAGGGACAAAAGCTGCCGATCAAAGGATGGAGGGAGGAAGTGAGTGACCCACGGGTCCCAGATCTTCTCAAATGTAGGCATGGAGTCCTGCACGCGTGCAGAGAGCTTCTCATTATAAAACGTCCAATGTACTTTATTCTTGACTTCTGATAAGCTTAAGGATTGTGACATCCACGCTCTGGCTATTGTGCGTTTAGCTGCCGACAGTACATGTAACATCAGTTTAAAACGTGGGTTAGTGAGTCCCGACGGTTTGACATTGCTGAGAGCTTCCTGCGGGAATGGTGAAATATGCTTACCCATGAGTACAGAAATAATCTGAAAGACCTTGCGCCATAGTGTTGCCACAACCGGGCACGACCACCACATGTGGATGTATGTACCCCTGGCGCCGCATCCTCTAGTACATAAGCCATCACAATCCGGGACAAAGTGTACCGCCTGTGTAGGGATTATATACCAACGGAGAAGTACCTTATAGTTGGCCTCAAGGGTCAGAGCATTTTTGGAACATGACTTGGTACTTTCCCATATTTGAAACCAGGTGTCTTCGTCAACCGTGCAATCTAGATCTGCCTGCCAGCGGTCCATATACACATGATGAGGCGGACCCGTGCCGGTTAGTAGGGAGGAGTATAATTGTGAAATCATACCTGGGACATGGGGATCTTGGCTACATATTCTTTCGTACGGAGTCATATGGAAGGTGGGAATTGGAAATTTTATCTGTGAATGGATGAAATGTTTAATTTGGAGGTACCTGAACAATTCAACAGGGGGGAGGTTATATTTGGATCGTAAGTCCGGGAACGGAATGACTTGGTTTGCATCTATTAAAGTTTGGTTTTTAACACCATCTTACCTTTTTCGAAGAGTTATCCTAAATGAACATACTTGCATGCCCAGTAAATCCAGCATTGTTGTGATGAATCCGCCATACACCAGGTTCCGCTCCGCCATCTTCCTTCCTTACGTCATTGGGAGTCAGCTGTCCCACCCCCCTGATGATGCACTGCCAGGTCTTTTCTCCTTCAGTGTTGTGTGGAATCTCTGACATGGATATCCCAGGAGGCTTCAATAGCTTAGTACACGTCATTCTTCCCTAAGCCAGAATGGAGGCAGAGGGCAGGGTGGAGTGTGAAGGAAGAAACAAAAGGTAAATAAACAAAAAGTTTTAGGGCCAATTCACACTTTAGCGTTGCACTAAACGCATGGGATTCACTCCTTTAGAGCTCGTTCCCACGCGGTAATTCACACTAGGAGCATTACCATTCCTTGTCAGTGCCAACCTGACACGCTTCAAGGTGGGCATGCATTGCAATGCTGCGCAACACACAGTACAGAGATAACATGCATTGCTGTGCGGTAATAAACATTTTTTAGATTGTAAGCCCTCACGGGCAGGGCCCTCCTTCCCATCTTGTCTTGAATTGTATTGTGACTGTAATGTCTTCCTTATATTGTAAAGCGCTGCGCAAACTGTTGGCACTATATAAATCCTGAATTTTAATAATAATTAGTGCATTCATTTCTTTTTTTTCCACTGCATGGCAGCACAATGCATGTCATTGCAGTACTGCAGGTTGCATGGAGCTGTAATGCACACCTACTAGAAGGTATCATTGAGAATGATCGTCAGTGCAACACACCAAACATGCAAATCCCCCAAGTTTAGTACATCGCTGTGGTGTGAACTGGCCCTTAGGTTTGTGGTCTGGGAGGGTTGCAGTCGTGCAGAGTTCTTTTTAGGGCACATTTGTACAGTGCAAGAGGTGGACATGGACACTAGAATATTTGTGTTACCTGGCAGTCCCACAAACATCAACACTTGGCTAAGCCAAGCACATTTTATTGCTATGGAGAGGGGAAGGGGGAACAAGGAACGCTGCTAGCAGTGCTTATCTCAGAGGGATCAGAACAGGTTTTCTAAGCTGATTAACATCAATTGCACCTCTAGAACAAACAGATGGTAGACAAACATCTGCCGCACTCCTCATATGTGAGATTGTCACCTGACCCAGGCAA